AACAAGGCATCTGATGCATGGGAGGCATTACAAAGAATTTTTGAACCGAAATCTCGTGCAAGGATTCTACAACTAAAGAAGCAGATGTTGTCTATAAAACTGGAATCGACCGAGACGATGAATTCATATTTGGCAAGACTGAAGACATGTAGTGACAGTCTCAAAGAGGTAGGATATGAATTTAGAGATGATGATTTAGCATACGCTATGTTATCAGGTCTTCCGGATACATATGATGGAATAGTAATGGCGCTTGCAAATTTGGATGACGAAAAATTTAAATCGACCGAAATCAAAGAAATACTTATGAACGAATATGAACGTCGAGCACTGAAGGAAGGAGGACAGCCTGAGGAACCATCAAAAGAGGCATACCATCAAACAACTAGCAAGGAAACTAGTAAAGAAGAAAAAAGAAGGTGCTTTAGATGTAATAAAATAGGGCATTTAGCAAATAGTTGTAATGCAAAATTGTTTAATGCGAAAGGAACTAAAAAGCGTTACGGATCAAATACACATAAAAATAGTAATGTGTTATTATTAGAGTTAAATAATACTCAGCTAGATGATGCATGGTTGATAGATAGTGGAGCAACCCACCACGTATGTAAACATAGAGAATGGTTCGATAAATATAAAACAATAGCTAACGAAATAATTTATTCAGCAGACAGTAAAAATAGTGATACTCTGAAAGCTGTAGGTGTAGGTAATATAAAAATACGAACCTTTGTTGGTAATAAAAAATTCGATTTAACGCTACTAAATGTATATCACGTTCCAAATGTAAGACGTAACTTATTGTCAGTTTCTCAAATAGAAAAAAGATACAAAAGACTATTGATAGATAACGGAAAACTTAAGATTCAAGATAAAGAAAATAATATGATAGTGGGGGAAGCTCTATGCGAAAATGGTTTATATATTGTCAAAGCAAAAGTCATGAATGATATAAATAATGTGACTAAAAGCGAAGCGCATATTACGTATACTAATAAGTTAACAGATTCTGTTAAGTGGCATCAAAGATTTTGTCATGTGAACATGAAAACTATTCATGAGCTATCAAAAGGAAATTTGGTTAGAGGTCTAGACAACGTAAATATAAATATAAACGATGCGCATTGTAGTAGTTGTAGCATTGCAAAATCAACAAAAGCACCTTGTAAAGAAGTAAGTCATAGACAAACAAAAAATGTATTAGAGCTCATTCATTCAGACTTATGTGGCCCTATGCCAATAAAATCAATTGGTGGAGCAAAATATTTTTTAACATTCACTGATGATTATTCCAGAAAAGCGACAGTATATTGCTTACAAACTAAGGATGAAGTAGTTGAATATATTCGTAAATATGTAGCTAGGGTAGAAAGAGAAACGGATAGAAAAATAAAAAGATTTAGAAGTGATAATGGATTAGAATATTGTAATAAGATTCTTGAACAAATGTTTGATGAAATGGGTATAAAACATGAACGAACAAATGTATATACACCACAAATGAATGGTGTTGCTGAACGATTCAATAGAACGTTATTAGATTTAGTACGAGCGATGCTTATAAATGCTGCATTACCTGAAAGATTTTGGGCCGAGGCCGTGGTAACCGCGTGTTATATTAAAAACAGAGTCATACATTCATTTGTTAATGATATTCCCGAAAGGATTTGGACAGGGAATAAACCAAGCGTGAAACACTTAAAAGTATATGGTTGCTTAGCCTATGCACATATAAATAAACAAGGTAGAAACAAGCTTAGTTCTAGAGGAAAAGAATGTATACTAATTGGCTATTCTAATCAAACAAAAGGATATAGACTGTGGGATCCAATTAAATGTGACGTAATACAAACAAAACATATAGAGTTCATTGAAAACGTTTGTGGGTATGAGCATATTTATAGTAAAAAGACATTGGAAACTCCGTTTACTAACACCGATAATGTAAATACTGTAGATGAAGATAAAGAATCAGTAACTAGTGAAACACAGGAAGAAAACGCGAATAAAAATACAGAATTTGTTAATTCGCATGAAACAATATCCGAAACAAAACGTAAAGTAGGTAGACCGAAGAAGGTAATTAAAAATCCTTGGGGTCGTGCAGGGAAACCTAAAAACGTAGAATTCAATTTAACAGAAATAATTGAACCGATAACATATGAAGAGGCGGAAATGTCACCACAATCGGAAGAATGGAAGTTAGCAATGGATGAAGAGTTAACAAGTTTGAATAATAGAAATACTTGGGAAATATTAAATAAACCTGAAAATGTTAATTGTATTGGAAGCAAATGGGTTTATAAAGTTAAAACAGATTCAACAGGAAAAATAGCAAGATATAAAGCTAGAGTAGTTGCACAGGGTTTTTCGCAAAAGAAAGACATTGATTATTCAGAATCATATGCACCCGTCGCAAATATTTCATTAATTAAATTATTAATATCTATGTCAGTATTACATGATTGGAAAATACATCATTTAGATGTGAAATGTGCATATCTCTACGGAAATCTTAAGGAAGAAATTTATATGAAATTGCCACCAGGACATAAAGACTATGAAATGAAAGTAGCAAAACTTTTAAGACCAATATACGGTTTGAAACAAGCAGGGCATAACTGGAATAATGCAATTAATGAATTCTTAATAAAACACGGATTTAAAAGATTGCAAGCAAGCAATTGCGTTTACGTTTATGATAATAATCTTATTCTTACATTGTACGTAGATGATATTATATTATTTGCTCCATCAATTGACAAAGTAAATGAAATTAAATCATTACTTGCGTCTAAATACGAAATAAGAGACTTAGGTAGAGCATCATACTTATTAGGTATAACTATTGAATACGAAGAAAATAAAATAAGACTATCGCAAGCGTTATATATAAACAAATTGTTAAGCGATTATGGAATGAATGATAGTAAAACATGTAAAACACCGATTGAACCAGGGATAAAATTATCGAAATGTGACGGTCCACAGAGCGATATTGAAAGGAGCGAAATGAATAATATCCCATATAAACAATTAATTGGTTCATTAATGTATGTAGCGTTAGCAACACGGCCAGATATATTATATGCAGTAACGAAATTATCACAATTTAGTTCTAACCCAGGAAGAACACATTGGTTACAAGCTAAAAGAGTATTAAGATACTTGGCTGCGACAAAAGACATTGGCCTAATGTATACTTCTGGTACAAATGAAATAGAAATTTTTAGTGACGCAGACTGGGCATCAGATATAGATGATAGACACTCTTATAGTGGTATGGTAGTATTTTTATACGGAAATCCAATAATATGGAAATCGAACAAACAAAAGTCAATTTCAACATCTACTATGGAAGCTGAATACGTTGCGTTAGAAATAGCTGTAAAAGAAGTTATATGGTTGGATATGATGTTCAATGAATTATCACAGACAATTGATTTAGACATACCATGTAAGCCATATGTCATTAGATGTGATAATAAATCGGCAATTGACTTTACAAGAAATAGAATAGAGAGATCACGCACGAAACATATCGATATTGCTTATCATATTACTAGAGAAATGCATGAAAACGGTTTAATTGAATTAAAATATATCTCATCTAATGATAACGTGGCAGACATCTTCACAAAGCCATTACCTCATACTGTAATAAATAAACATATTGAGAAGTTGGGATTACAACTAATTGCAGAGTGATCATAGTGGGGGATTTGATAGGTGTTTGATACACACTGCAATTATATTAGACGTATCGAACATTAGATCTCGATATAACTATTATCGATTGTACTATCGATATGGATGTAACGTCCATTTTTGTTCTTTCTTCCCTTGTGTCTTTTCTATTATTACGCATAGCCGTAAGCATTCATTAAAGTACAACATATATGTATTAAGTCATTGCGTTATTCATATACACCTATCCTTTGAGTTATATAGATAAAGGTAAAAGGTGTATTTTCTGCTAACAGCATTGATATCACAATAAAAACTTTATAAAAGTAAAAACGTGCCAAGTAACATATATAAGCACAGTCGACATTGTATGTAAATATGCTTTCAAAAAATTGTTCTACAATATATTTAAAAAGAAACTTAATATATACATACATACACATACGAACATTAATGTTTATTCATTGCATATAGAATACACTTATAGAATTACGCAATATACATGTTAGAATCTTTGAAAATATAGTTTTAATGTATGTTTGATGACATGTAGATCAAAATAAATATTAAACCACTGTTATTCAGTATAAATTATAAATTTGTAGTATAAATTAAATAACAAATTAAAATAGAATAATATATACTTTAGTTTTTTTATTAAAATATAAAAGAAGTGATATTTTGACTGATACTTTGAATATGTATACAGTGAAAAATTTATAATTTGAAAAGATAATACAAATATGTATTATCTCTATATCTGCATTAAAAAAAAGTATTATTTTTACTATCTAATTTATGTAGAATAATTTTCAGATAATTTTGGTTTAGAGTCATAGCGCATAAAAATACTTGATGTAGACAGTAAAGCGATAAATATTTATAAATAAAAATATGAATATACGTATAATGTTGCATCTCTTTTATAATTTACATATTTTGTATAACTGTGTTTTACATAAGCAGTATTAAAAATTATTTAGATAAATCTTCATATAATTTTATCTTTCATTAGATATACTTTCAAACATACTTGAAACAAAATTATCTAAGACAAATTTACATATTTTTATATTGTTTTTATCTAGCTAATTTTAAATTAATCTTAACACAACATTGTATCATTATCAAAAATTTATTACAGTATTTTATGGTCGTGTTTTAGATGGCCTATTACAAAAAGAAGATATGAAAATCTTAATACAACAAAGGGTGAAGGAAATATAAACTTTGTTACAAAGGGCATAAATTCTGCGATACAATTGCGAAATTATTTGTCTCAATTCTTTTTTACGATTATTTTTACAATAATAGATCAAACAAAAATTATTTCAATGACTCAATCAATATATATTGAATTCGATAATGTAAGAAAATCCTCGGGTAACATCAATGTATATGTAAAGCGTTTGTATAAAAATATACTTTTTCTTGAGCCTACAGATAAGTATATAGACGAACTAAAATATATGTTTTATATTGAGGAGATTAAATGCTTGTTAACACAATTTCCACAGTAAGATCTTTATTTATATCATAGTGCTACTATTATTACAATTTAATGTATTTATTCATTAGTTAATACTTTAATACATGAATTTTTTAGCAGAATCGATCGCAATTCATTCGAAAGATATTGCAATATAGAAAAGTCTCACTATGTGAAGTTATCCTCGATAGGAAATGATTTGGACAGATATAGAGAGAAACCTGAAAGAGAACAGCTTTTGGAAGTAACTTGTACTTTCGTGGTACAACAAATTCAACTTCGAAAAAATGTATGTTACACGAATATAAGTGCATCATTGGATACAATCGCACAAGAGGTACTGATATTTCTTAGAGAGAAGCATCCCAACCATTCGATATTCTCCACGTCTGAAGAAACGTTTTCCTATTGGAAAACCAACAGTATCGAAGATAATCATTGGGATGAAACAGAAAGTACGCAGATTATGGATACACTTCAGGAATATATATTTGGCATTTTGAACTTTCGACCATGTAGCTACTCACGTAAAGTAGATCTCAAAAGTTTATGTATAGATTATGTAAGTTATAATACATTATAATATCTATATAATTATGGACCATATACGTACATGTTATATGTTGTTTTTAATATTCTCTCGCCTTGATTAATTTATTCTGTATTATACCTGACGCAGGTTTTACAAAGTAAATATGGTCAACATATCATTGTATTTACAATATTTAGTAGCGTGGCTAGAAGACTTGGTCTACGTTGCGACGTAATAGTTTTTCTGACTAAAATCTCTATATTTTGGAAACCAAAATAGTAAGTACAGATATATTAGATTCGACATTATTATAATTTTTCGGTAATTTTTCTTCTCTTATTATACGCATACATATATATATATTTTTTATTATAAAAATTTTAATAATAATTAAGATAATATTCTAATTGTTTACAGCGTCACAAATAATTTAAAAATGCACGATGTTTGTACATGACACACGAGAAATTCCCGAATTGTCTAGAAATTATCTATCAGCTAACACGTTATGTAGAGCACTCGCCATCACAATTACAACTACAGAGGTTGAAAATTACTTATTTATTACTTCTAATAATTTTAAGTTATTAATATATACTTGTAAATTACAAAGAATCAATATATTACACTAAATATGTATAAGAAGAAGAGAAATGTGCAATCTCTCATTTTTTGATTTATAATTGGATCCTTGTTTACATTTATCTTTGTTCATGTTTAATTAATTTTTTTAGATGTCGTTGATGATAAGAAGTTTCGTTGGCGAGTTTATAATGGAACATGAAATAACCGCTTTGGGATTAGTCCAAGTGAAATTTAATGTGTAAAGAACATACGCGAACGAATATAATCGCATCTTAGTATATAATATATATCATTGTGAAAATAAATAGTTTTATGAGATTCCTTTCCGATAAATGTATAATTTCATTGAATTTTTTATAATTTTATTTATTTAATTTCATTGAGGTTTTTTTTACAAAAATTCAATTAAAATTTACATATTCTGTCTTATATTTAGTAAATATTAATGACAAAAATGAAATACATACTTAGAAATTGTCATACGTTAAATAATCCTTCAGATATCTACATAAAATTTAATAGGATTATTGCATATATATGTACATATAATTCGTAATCTTAATTTCGATAATAAAATTATACGTTAATTTCTATATATATAAAGTTTTCATTATTATAAAAATGCATAAGAAAATTTGTGATTGCAAAATTTGTTAATTTATTTAAAAAATATAATGCAAAATAAAAATTAAATAAAATCTTATTATTAAAATTTTTAATTTATTAAATGCAGTATGTTAAATTTGCAAATTACATATAATTTTTTTAAATTTTAACAATCATCTTGTTATGAATATATCAATTTTACATTAATTTAAAACAATAACTTTTTATATTTTCAAATATACATAAAACTTTTGTAATATAAAGAGATTTATTATAAATGCATATATGATATCAATTTTAAAATGAAATAGCAAAATACGCAATATTATATAAAAATGAAAAAAAAATTTATTAATTGAAATTTTAATTATAATTTCCGATTAAGCGACTTTTAAGATTTAAATTGCTTTTCTACATATACAAAATGGTCAATAAAATAAAAACATAAAATATCCGAATCCCGAATGCCCAAAGAATAATATATAGAAATTTTTTCGTATAAGTCGCATAGAGAGAGAATATTTGTAAAATCATGAAGTTTTATATTCATATAAAGTTTGATTCTTACAATAATATATATATATTTCGCTAACATATATAATGATATTGAAATATAGTAATATGTACAGCAAAATTTATTAAATTATTGTATAAGTATGAAATTGTTAGTTTGAATACTATTTGTTACTCCAAAAAAATGAAAATACAAATTTTTTTATTTTTTTCATAATCGATATATTTCATATGCACAATAATGGGTTGTAATATTTATAAAATACAAAAAAAGTTGGCGGTAAACTTTAATAAAAAATTGATAAATACAAATAAAATTTTTTAATTAAATTAAATAATAAATAATACATATTTAGAAAAGTGAGATTTTATAATTCATTCAATGAAAAATATAATTATTCTAAGTTTAAATATAGAACAATAAATAAATAAATAGTAAAAATGATAAAAAAAATAAAAAATTTGTTTATTTTCAAGAGTAAAGTTATTTAAATTTTCTAGAAAATGACATTGTTAAGTTTGTATGCCAGTAAGTAATTATTCTATAGTTTATACCCTATACACGCTTATAGGTCAAAAAAATAAAAAACAAGAAAATTTTATTTCCAAGGTAAGTACTCTAAAATTATGTTCTAGCAAAAACTGAGATTGTTAAGTTGTAATGAAGACGTAATTTTCTTAGTTTCCGCATCGGACTTTAACGCAAAAAAGATGAAAAAATCAATAAAAATTTGTTTTTTCCAAATAATTGTACTCTATAAAATTTGTTCTAAAAATAAAGTTTTCCAAATACTATCCAGTAGTAATTGTTCTATACTTTGAAGATATCGCTACTTTAGCCAAAAAAGAACAATAAATAAAAATAGTAATAATGAAGTTATTTAAAATAAATTATTTAAAATTATGTTCTAGCAAAATTTGTCAATTTTTCTATGCCATATCGTAATTATTCTATATTATATCCAATTTAGCAAAAAACGTAAGAAAAAACTAAGAAAAATTGTTTATCAAAATAAAACCTTTAAAAATATGTTCTAGCAAAATGGAATTAATTAAGTAGTTTATCCAGTACGTAATTTTTCTTAGTTTACAGCTATGCGACTGTTAACGCGCAAACCAGATGAAAAAACCATCAAAATTTATTATTTCCACTATTAAAGTATCTTTAACTTTATGTTCTAGCAAAATTGAGAGTATTCAAGTTGTTCTATCCAGTAGGTAATTTTTTCTATAGTTTTACCTCTATCACATTATTTATTTAGCAAAAAATATTATAAAAATAAAAATATTTTATATAAATAAATACCTTTAAAATTATGTTTAGCAAAAATTAGAGTTGTTCCAATTTTCTATGCAGTACGTAATTGTTCTATATTTATTAATATTAATTTACTTTCTACTGATTTAAAAACAAAAAAAATTTATTTTATTTATAATTAAAGTAATTAAAATCGATCTTCTACAAACTAGATTGTTCCAATTATTATATGCCAATATGTAATATATTCTATAATTTAATATAAACATTAAATAAAAACGAAAAAACAAGAAAAATTGTTTATTTCCATATTAATTTACCTTTAAAATTATTTCTAGCTAAAACTTTTATTTGTTCGTATTTTATTTTACACCATTACGTATTGCTCATATAATTTGACAAACCTATCGCATACTTTACACATAAATGTATAAAAATATAAAAATATGTGTTTATTTAAATAAATATTAAAATAATTTTCTAGCAAAACTGAGATTTTCCAACTTGTTCTATGCCATTATGTAATTTTCTTTTTCGACCACTGTAAATTGGTCGCAAACACGAAAAACATAAAATGTGTTTATTTAAAGTAATGTGTATTTAAAATAATATTATAGAAATGATATTTTCAAAAATGTTCTATGCCATATATAATTGTTCTATAGTTTAACAGCTGTGACACATTATCGGTTTAAAAACATAAAAAAAAACAACAAAATATGTTTATTTAAAAATAAAGTACTCTTGATATTATGTTAAGCAAAATTGAGATTGATTTGTCGGTTCTTTTTATAAAAATAACAGTTTGTTATAAAATAAAAACTATGCCGAAAACATAAAAAAACTGTTTGTACACGAAATATTTTTATATATTAGAAATACTTTGTTATGGAATTATCATTTGGAACAATGTTTAGAACAATAGGAACAATCAAAATTAAAATTCGATTTTCAAAATTGAGAGTAAAATATTTTTTATTTTTAAAATTGAATATTATAAATTTTCTTTTCTGAACAATATATAAAGAAGTGACATATATATACTCATGGAACAACTTAAAAAAATTTATTAATTTGAAAAATGACTTGTGCAATCACATTGTTTACTATAATCAAAGTTTGCTGTATGTTATCTAAATAAAATTAAATGGAAGAACTGTGGCGTCATCTTATCTGCATATAAATAATAAAAATATGTATTATCTTTATATCTGCATATTACAAGTAGATAAAAAAAGTACTACCTTTACTATATTATTTATCTACAATAATTTTCAGATAATTTTGATTTAGAATCATAGCACTTAAGAATACTTAAAGTAGACAGTAAAGCGATAAAAATTTATAAATAAAGATATGTATACATATATTGTTGTATATTTTCATAATTTATACTTCTTGTATAACTGTGTTTACATAAGCAGTCTTAAATATTATTATCTAAACAATTATTTAAATAAATCGTCATATAATTATATCTTTTATCTAGATACACTTAAAACAAAATCATCTTTATCCTATCTAAGATTAATTTACATACTTTTATCTCATCTTTATCCAGCTAATTTTAAATTAATCTTGACACAACACTAAGTATCATTATCAAAAATTTATTACAATATTTTATGGTCGTATTTTAGATGGCCCTATGCGAAGAAAAGATATGAAAGTCTTACGGAAAAAGAAAAAGAAGAAAACCTAAACTTTGTTATAATAGGCATAAATTCTGCGACACAATTGCGAAGTTATTTGTCTCAAATTCTCTTTTATGATTATTTTTACAATAATAGATCAAATCGAAATTACTTCGATAACTCATTTACTAATGTATTGAAATTAACAACTAATGTAAAAGAATTCAGTGGTAATATCGATAAATATGTACATTCTTTGCCTAAAAATCTATTTTTTCCTGATCGTCCACATGAGCCTATAAATGTGCTGAAATATATGTTTTATATTGAGGAGATTAAATACTTGTTAACACAATTTCCACAGTAGGATTTTCATATATATTATAATGCTACTATTATTACAATTTAATGTATTTATTCATTAGTTAATACTTCAATATACATTTTTTAGGGATCGCAAATCAATCGAAAGTTATTGCAATATAAAAATGTCTCACTATGCGAAGCTATCCTCGATAGGAAATGAGTTGGACAGATATAGAGACGAAGCTGAAATAAAACAGCTTTTAGAAAAAATTTGTACTTTCATAGCACAACAAATTCAACCTCGAAAAGATGTATGTTACACGAATGTAAGTGCATCATTGGATACAATCGCACAAAAGGTACGGAATCGTCTCAGGGAGAAGCATCCGAACCATTCGATATTCTCCACGTCTGAAGAAACTTTTTCTTATTGGAAAACCAACAATATCAAAGATAATCATTGGAATGAAACAGAAAGTACGCAGATTATGGATACACTTCAGGAATATATATTTAGCACTTTAAACTTTCGAGTATGTAGCTCCATATCCGAAGATATCAAATGTTTATGTATAGATTATGTAAGTTATTAAACATTATAATATATATAATTATGAGCCATATATGTATACGTTATATGTTGTTTTTAATATTGTCTCGCTTTGATTAATTTATTCTGTATTATACCTGGCACAGGTTTTACAAAGTAAAGTTGGTTCAGATATCATTTTATATACAATACTTCATAGCGTGGCTAGAAGACTTGGTCTACGTTGCGATGCAGTGATACTTAAATTTCAACGACGCTGTATATTTTGGAAACCAGAGTTGTAAGTATAGATATATTAGATTCGACATTATCATCATTTCTCGATAATCTTTCTTTTTTATTATACGCATATGGTACATATATAATTTTTTATTATAAAAATTTTCATATGATTAAGGTAATATTTTATTTGTTTACAGCGTCACGAATAATTTAGAAAATGCAAGATGTTTTTACATAAAACACGGGTATTTCCCGAATTGTCTTCATGATTTTCTACCAACTTACAAGCGTTATAAAACACATCCCGTCACCGCAATAAAAACTGCACAGGTTGAAACTTATTTATTACATCTATTAATTTTAAGTTATTAATATGCTTGTAAATTGAAAAGCAATTAATAAATTACATTATATGTGTATAGAAAGAAGAGAAATGTACATCTTTCATTTTTTAATTTATAATTAAATCCATGTTTACATTTAATCTTTATTCATGTTTAATTAACTTTTTAGATGAAGCACATAATAGAAATTTTAGTTAGAAAATTTATAAGAGAACATAAAATAAACAATTTGGAATTAGTCGAAGTGAATTGTATAATGTAAAAACATACGCGCATTAACATAATCGCATATTAGTATATAACATGCACCATTGTAAAAATAAAGAGCTTTGTGAGATATTTTCAGATAACAATTATGTATAATTTACAATTTTCTATACTTTTACGTGTTTTAAGTGTTTATTGAGGCATTTATTCACAAAAAATCAATCAAAGCAAAAATTTTACAGTTTCTGTCTTATTTTAATTAGTAGAACATATAAATGAAAACATGAAATATGCTGTAGAAATTATCATAATATATAATCCTACAGATCAATCTACAGATTCGGACCAACATAATAAATTTAAATTAATAATAGAATGTTATTGACATATACATATATACATACATGTTCGACAATTAAGAATCAACGATGAATAAAATATAGCTATTATCTTTCTGCGATATTTATTGTATTAATTAATATAAATAATAATGTAAGAAAATTTTGTGACAGCAACAATTTGAATTGGTGCAAAAGAATTAATAAATAAAAAATAAAAAAATTAACTAATTTGATAACTTTTTTTAACACTTTCAATATATGCGAAATATGACGTAATAAATTTCCCATCTATTAATATCTATTATTTTAAAACTTATATAATCGATAGTGTGTTGCAAATGTATAAATAGGTATGTTAATAGAAGACAATAATTTTTATATTTCAAATATACATAATTCTTTTGTATTGAAGAAGACGATAAAAGCTTATAAATGATATTAGATTTTGTATGATCTTAGCATAATTTCAGATTTTGCAAATTCATCTCAATTTTGAAATCTCAATTTTAATTCCTCAGTTTCCAATTCAGCGACTTTTGGACCGATATATTTTGCTTTTCTACATCTATGTAAAGAGATAAAAAAAAACATAAGATTAAAAACTCGCATTGAGATTTATTCACAAACATCTGCGTTGAGTTCGCATAGTCTGTTCATTTTGAGTTTGTATTTAATCCATGAAGTTTTATATTTTTATTAAGTTTAAATTGATAAAATATATACATCCCATATATAGGCGCGAATATAACTACATACAATTGTAGAATATTCTTATGTAAACTATTTGTACATGCATCATTTATTAAATATTTGTATGGTAAGTCGGAAATTTTATTTTAGCTGAGAATTTTATCTGTAAATAATTAAAAAATGCAAAATGTAAATCTCTCTCTTTCCCTTTTTCTCTTATTGAGAACATTTCATAATGCACAGCACTGGAGTTGTAAATTGTAAAATATGAATACATAAAAGTTAATAAAATTAAAAAAATAAATAACTTAAAATAAAATTATTTTAATTAAGCTTAAATAATAAATAATACAAATACATGGAAATTAGTAAGATTTGAAATAACTGATAAATTTGGAAAAATATATTATTTTAATTAAGCTTAAATAAAGAACAATAAATAAATAAATAGTGATAATAAAGAATAATTAATATAATAAATTATTTACCACGTTTTATCTTTCAAGCGCATAGAAAGAAATGGTAAATTTGCTAGTTATAAATTACATTTTCTGCGCATGCCGTGACAAATTCTTATACCTGTATCTTAGTGAAAACAAGCAATAAGACTTTAAAATTTGGGGTCACATTTCATAATAAAGAACAGACCGTCTGTAGTGTGGAAACGTTTCTCGTATAAATCAAACACACATCTGTGCTCTTTGTAATCGGCAGACTCATTTCGTGTACTGCGAAAAGCAAGGAATTAATTACGCGAATAGTATATTGCAATCACTTTAATTTATAATCCTTTCTTGCGTTTTGTTTCTCATAATGTCTGATTATAAGATAACGAGCTTACCAGAGGGGATAATAACCATCATTCTCGGCTATAATGTTATCACTATGGAGGATATCATCAACTTTCGATGCGTGTGCAAGAAATTTCGTTATGCAGCAACCATATATAACAAGTTCTTGGAAAAAAAGTTATCTCAAAGGTAATTCTTGTGGTTTGTAAATCTTTTTGTTATTTCTTAATGTTGTAATTGTCTTAATAATTTCTGTCGCATAATGTATATATCACTTTTGCGAAAAACGTATATATTGTAAATATATAATAAATAAAAAATATTAGCAAAATTAGGTATGTTGCATTTATGTTGCATATTAAATTATTCACTTTCATTTTTTCTATTGCTCAATAATTTTGGCAAACTCTACCGTTATATATATACATATATAATACACATATACATATATATATATATATATATATATATATATATGGAATGTAAACGTTAAATATATTATACTGAGAAGAATTCTTAATTTTCGGCTGTCATAAATTAAAAGACCAAATATTTTTCAACCGACATTCGTCAATTGATGTATATTTAATTAATCACACAATGTTTCGACCACGGTGTTTCGACCATATAATTTTGGTCCTTCGCACACTTAACAGTAACACTTGAGAAAACCAAAAATTATATGAAACGTTGTGTGATTAATTAAATAAATATTAATTAGCCTATATATATATATATATCGGTCGAAAAATATTCATCATTAAATAATTTTTTGGGGATTTAATTATTAAAAATACAACATAAAAGTAACTTGACTTATTTATTATAATGTGTATTCTACAATATATTTAATTGCATTTTTAGATATAAAAATTATATATATGATATATATTCGTGATACAAGCAAACAGATTTGATATTTTTCTAACGGTTATTTTTCATAAATAGCATTGAAATCACAATAAAAAGTAAAAACATGCCAAGTGACATATATAAGCACAGACAACATTTTGTAAATATGCTTTCGAAAAAGTTGTTTTACAAAATATTAAAAAAAAACTTAATCTATACACAGAACTGTGGCGTCATCTTATCTGCAAATAGATAATAAAAATATGTATTATCTTTGTATCTGCATCTTACAAATAGATAAAAAAAAAGTACTACCTTTACTATATTATTTATTGAAACTAATTTTCAGATAATTTTGATTTAAAATCATTGCACATTCGAATACTTAAAATAAACAATAAAGCGATAAAAATATGAATATATATATTGTTGTATCTTTTTCATAACTTATATTTCTTGTATAACTGTGTTTACATAAGCAGTCTTAAATATTATTATCTAAACAATTATCAAAATAAATCGTTATATAATTGTATCTTTTATCTAGATATACTTGAAACAAAATCATCTTCATTCAATCTAAGATGAATTTACATACTTTATCTCATCTTTATCCAGCTCATTTTAAATTAATCTTGACACAACACTAAGTATCATTATCAAAAATTTATTACAATATTTTATGGTCGTATTTTAGATGGCCCTATGCGAAGAAAAGATATGAAAGTCTTACGGAAAAAGAAAAAGAAGAAAACCTAAACTTTGTTATAATAGGCATAAATTCTGTGACACAATTGCGAAGTTATTTGTCTCAAATTCTCTTTTATGATTATTTTTACAATAATAGATCAAATCGAAATTACTTTGATGACTCAATTCATAATGTATTGGAACTCGAAAATAATGTAAGGGAATTCAGTGGTAATATCGATAAATATGTACATTCTTTACCTGCATATCGATTTTTTTTTATCCTCGACATGAGCCTATAGATGTGCTGAAATATATGTTTTATATTGAAGAGATTAAATGCTTGTTAACACAATTTCCACAGTAGGATTTTCATATATATTATAATGCAACTATTATTACAATTTAATGTATTTAATCATTAGTTAATGCTTCAATATACATTTTTTAGGGATCGCAAATCAATCGAAAGTTTTTGCAATATAGAAATGTCTCACTATGCGAAGCTATCCTCGATAGGAAATGAGTTGGACAGATATATAAAGAAACCTGAAAGAGAACAACTTTTGGAAGAAACATGTACTTTCGTGGCAAAGTATATTCAAGTTCGAGAAGATGTATGTTACACGAATGTAAGTGCATCATTGGATACAATCGCACAAGAGGTACTGAATCGTCTCAGGGAGAAGCATCCGAACCATTCGATATTCTCCACGTCTGATGAAACTTTTTCTTATTGGAAAACTAACAATATCGAAGATAATCATTGGGACGAAACAGAAAGTACGCAGATTATGGATACACTTCAAAAATATATATTTGGCACTTTAAACTTTCGAGTATGTAACTTCGTACCCAAAGATATCAAATGTTTGTGTATAGATTATGTAAGTTATTAAAGATTATAATACATATAATTATGGGCCATATATGTATATGTTATATGTTGTTTTTAATATCTCTCGCTTTGATTAATTTGTCCTGTATTATACCTGGCACAGGTTTTACAAAGTAAATATGGTCAAGATATCATTGTATATACAATATTTCATAGCGTGGCTAGAAAACTTGGTCTACGTTGCGATCTAATAGATCTTTGGTTTCGCTGCTGTATATCTTGGAAACCAGAATTGTAAGTATAGATATATATTAGAATCGACATTATCATTATTTCTCGATCATCTTTCTTTTTTTTATTATACGCATACATATATAATGTTTTATTATAAAATTTTCATATAATTAAGGTAATATTTTAATTGTTTACAGCGTCACGAATAATTTAGAAAATTCAAGATGTTTTTACATAAAAGACGAGAATTTCCCGAACTGTCTTGATGATTTTCTACCATTTTACAAGCGTTATAAAACACATTGCGTCACAATAAGAACTGGACAGGTTGAAATTTATTTATTACTTTTATTAATTTTAAGTTATTAATATGCTTGTAGATTGACAAGCAATTAATAAATTACATTATATGTGTATAAAAAGAAGAGAAATATACATCTCTCATTTTTTAATTTATAATTAGATCCTTGTTTACATTTAATCTTTATTTATGTTTAATTAACTTTTTTAGATGTTCTACATGATAAGAACTTTAGTTGGAAGGTTTATAAGGGGACATAAAATAATCAAATTGGGATTAGTCAAAGTGCATTGTAATGTGCTAATAACACACCCGCACTAACATAATCACATGTTAGTATATAATATAAACAATTGTAAAAATAAAGAACTTTGTGAGGGTCTTGCAGATAACAGTTATGTATAATTTACCATTTTTTATAACGTAAAATATGCCGTAGTAATTATCATTATATATAATTGATTTACAGATCAATTTACAGATAGTTGAGCCAACATAATGAACGGATGTTTTTGACATATACTATATACATATATTTTCGACTTTTATATTATAGATATAAATATTATGCCCTATTTTTGTATGCAATGTCAAGTGAAAATCAACGCGATGAATGAAATATATTTATTATTCTCTCTGCTATAATTATTGTATTAATTAATATAAACGATAAAGTAAGAAAATTGTGTGTGTGTGTGTGTGTGTGTGATTGAACAATTTAAATTAGTGCAGTAGAATTTATAAATTTTAAAATTTAGAAATATTAATTAGTTTATTAACTTTTTTTAACACTCTATAAGTATATGCAACATATGACGTAATATAAATTTGCCATCTATTAATATCTATTATCTTGAAACTGTTAATGTATTGCACTTGTATTTAAGTATAAACAGGTATGTTATATAATAAAACTTATACATAATGCTCCAAGTGTGCGCCCATATTATTTTATATCAGAAAATATATTAAAAAGGGATAATTGTACGAAGACTTATACCATAATTTTTTATATATCTTAAAATATGAAAAAACACATTATTGAGAAACACGCATGCCTAGAGAAGGAACAGCAAATTTACTCCAAACTTTGGTACAGAACACATTTAGGGTCATTTAGAATCGCAAGATTTGCGACAAGTTTAACAAGATAATTAATTCTTTTAAATTAATGATATTTATTTCAACTTTATAATATCTCTGCACCTCCCCAAATGCTACCAAAGGAGTAAGTAAAAAACTGATAAAAATGAATATTACTATTTAGGTTTTTTTTAGATATTAATATAAACTTTTGAAAAATAAATGAACAAATATACTTAATGAATAATAAAGTTAGTCTCGAAATAAACAAGGATATGCGAGCCGAACGCGAAGGTTTGTGCGTTAGATAAGAAAAATTAATGTTTCCCCTATGTCTTATAATTGTGCACGAGGCACGAAATTTGCTTAGCATAGTGCTAACAATAAGACTATTTAGGAATAAATCTCAACTTGGTTCTCAATTTTAGAATCTCTATTTTAATTCCTAAGTTCCCGATTCAGCGACTTTTAAACCGATATATTTTGCTTTTCTACATCTTTGTAGGGAGATCAAAAGAAAACATAGGTATTAAAATCTCGAATTGAGATTTATTCACAAACATCCGCGTTGAGTTCGCATAGTCTGTTCATTCTAAATTTGCTTTTAATCCATGGAGTTTTTATATTCTTATAAAGTTTAGATTTCTAGAATATATACATCCCGTATATACGCGCGAATAAAACTACATACAATTGTAGAATATTCTTATGTAAACGATTTGTACATGCATCATTTATTAAATATTTGTATAGTAAGTCGGAAATTTTATTTTAGCTGAGAATTTTAACTGTAAAGATTTGAAAAATGCAAAATGTAAATCTCTCTCTTTCCCTTTCTCTCTTATCGAGAAAATTTCATAATGCACAGCACTAGAGTTGTAAATTGTAAAATATGAATACATGAAAGTTGGTAAAATTTAATAAAATAATTGATAACTTGAAATAAAATTTTTTTAATTAAGCTTAAATAATACGTAATATAAATACATAAAAATTAGTAAAATTTAAAATAACTAATACATTTGTAGAAATATATTATTTTAATTAAACATAAATAGAAAACAATAAATAAATAAATAATAATAACAAAGAATAAATAATAAATAAATTATTTATCACGTTCTATCTTTCAAGTGCATAGGAGAAAATGGTAATTTTTGCTAGTTCTAAATTTCATTTTCTGCGCATGCCGTGACAAATTTTTATATTTGTATCTCATTGTTAGTGGGAAGAAGCAATAATACTTTAGAATTTAAGGTCAAATTTCATATAAAGAACAGACCGTCTGTAGTGTAAAAACGTCTCTCGTGGACATCAATCACACATTTGTGCTCTTGTAATCGGCAGATTCATTTCGTGTACCTTAAAAAGAAGGAATTAATTACGCGAATAGTATATTGCAATCACTTTAATTTATATTCTTTTCTTGTATTTTGTTATTCATAATGTCTGATTATAAGATAACGTGCTTACCAGAGGAGATAATAACCATCATTCTCGGCTGTAATGTTATCACTATGGAGGATATCATCAACTTTCGATGCGTGTGCCAGCAATTTCGTTATGCAGCAACCACATATAACAAGTTCTTGGAAAAAAAGTTATTTCAGAGGTAATTCTTGTGATTTGTAAATCTTTTTGTTATTTTGTCTCATTAACGCCTGTCGCACAATGTATATCACTTCTGCGAAGAACGTATATTATAAATATATAATAAATACAAAATATTAGAAAAATTAGGTATGTTGCATTTATGTTGCATATTAAATTATTCGCTTTCATTTTTTCTATTGCTCAATAATTTTAACATACTCTACCGTTATATATGTGTATATACATATATAATATACATATACATATATATATATGGAATATAAACGTTAAATATAATATACTGATAAAAAAGGATTCTTAATTTTCGGCTGTCATAAATTAAAAGACCAAATATTTTTCAACCGACATTTTTCAATTGATGTTTGTTTATTTAATTAATCACACAACGTTTCGACCACGGTGTTTGGACGATATAATTTTGGTCTTTCGCACACTTAACAGTAACACTTGAGAAAGCCATAAATTATATGAAACGTTGTGTAATTAATTAATAAAATATTAATTAGCCTACATGTATATCGGTCGAAATATATTCAGTCATTAAATAATTTTTTTTTAGATTTAATTATTAAAAATACAACATAAAAGTAACTTGGTTTATTTATTATGTGTATTCTTCAATATATTTAATTGCATTTTTAAATATAGAAATTATATATATGATATATATTCGTGATAGAAACAAACAGATTTGATATTTTTCTATCGGTTCTTTTTCATAAATAGCTTTGAAATCACAATAAAATCTTTATAAAATTGAAAACATGCCAAGTGACATATATAAGCACAATCAACATTGTTTGTAAATATGCTTTCGAAAAAATTGTTCTACAAAATATTTAAAAAAAACTTAATCTATACATACATACGCACACATTAATGTTTATTAATTGATATAAAATACACTTATAGAATTATGCAATATACATATTGGAATCAAAATTTGGAAAGTATAAATTAAATTACAAATTAAAATTGACTATTATATATTTTCTTTTTCTGATTAAAGTATAAAAAGAAGTGACATATATATACTCATGCTTTGAGAATTGTATACTTAAAAAAATTTATTAATTTGAAAAATGACTTGTGCAATCACATTGTTTACTATCATCAAAGTTTGCTGTATGTTATCTAAATAAAATTAAATGGAAGAACTGTGGCGTCATCTTATCTGCATATAGATAATAAAAATATGTATTATCTTTATATCTGCATATTACGAGTAGATAAAAAAAAGTACTACCTTTACTATATTATTTATCTACAATAATTTTCAGATAATTTTGATTTAGAATCATAGCACTTAAGAATACTTAAAGTAGACAGTAAAGCGATAAAAATTTATAACTAAAAATATGAATACTTTTATTGTTGTACCTTTTTCATAATTTATATTTCTTGTATAACTGTGTTTATACATAAGCAGTCTTAAATATTATTATCTAAACAATTACCTAAATAAATCGTCATATAATTGTATCTTTTATCTAGATATACTTGAAACAAAATCATCTTCATTCAATCTAAGATGAATTTACATACTTTATCTCATCTTTATCCAGCTAATTTTAAATTAATCTTGACACAACACTTAGTATCATTTTCAAAAATTTATTACAATATTTTATGGTCGTATTTTAGATGGCCCTATGCGAAGAAAAGATATGAAAATCTTACGGAGGAAGAAAAAAAAGAAAACCTAAACTTTGTTATAATAGGCATTAATTCTGCAATACAATTGCGAAATTATTTATCTCACATTCTTTTTTATGATTATTATTTCAACAATAAATCAAATCAAAATTACTTCGAGAACTCAATTCATACTGTATTGGAATTCAATGATAAGGTAAAGAAATTCAGTGGTAATATCGATGAATATGTAAATCGTTTAAATCAACATGATCCTGAACGTGAGCCTACACATGAGCCTATAAATGCGCTGAAATATACGTTTTATATTGAGGAGATTAAATGTTTGTTAACACCATTTCAACAGTAAGATCTTCATATATATTATAACGCTACTATTATTACAAGTTAATGTATTTATTCATTAGTTAATAATTCAATATATATAAATTTTTTAGAAGAATTGATCGCAAATCAATTGAAAGATATTGCAATATAAAAATGTCTCACTATGAAAAGCTATCCTCGATACGAAATGAGTTGGACAGATATAGAGAAACTAGAAAAAGAACAACTTTTGGAAGAAACGTGTACTTTCATGTCAAAATATATTCAAGTTCGAGAAGATGTATGTTACACGAATGTAAGTGCATCATTGGATACAATCGCACAAGAGGTACTGAATCGTCTCAGAGAGAAGCATCCGAACCATTCGATATTCTCCACGTCTGAAGAAACTTTTTCCTATTGGAAAACCAACAATATCGAAGATAATCATTGGGACGAAACAGAAAGTACGCAGATTATGGATACACTCCAGGAATATATATTTGGCACCTTGAACATTCAAGCACGTATCTCCTCACCCGAAGATACCAAATGGTTTTGTATAGATTATGTAAGTTATTATAGATTATAATATATATAATTATGGGCCATATATGTATACGTTATATGTTGTTTTTAATATTCTCTCGCTTTGATTGATTTGTTCTGTATTATACTTGACACAGGTTTTACAAAGTAAAGTTGGTGAAGATATCATTGTATATACAATATTTCATAGCGTGGCTAGAAGACTTGGTCTACGTTGCGATCTAATAGATGTTGACACTCAAATCTGTATATTTTGGAAATCAAAATTGTAAGTATAGATATATATTAGATTCGACATTATCATAATTTCCCGATAATCTTTCTTTTTTTATTATACGCATACATATATATTTTTTTATTATAAAAATTTTCATATGATTAAGGTAATATTTTATTTGTTTACAGCGTCACGAATAATTTAGAAAATGCAAGATGTTTTTACATAGAAGACGAAAATTTCCCGAATTGTCTTCATGATTATCTACAAGATTACGAGTCTTGTGGAACACATTATAACAACATCAAAATAGGAACTGAAGAGGTTGAAACTTATTTATTACTTCTATTAATTTTAAGTTATTAATATGCTTGTAAATTGACAAGCAATTAATAAATTACAATATATGTGTATAGAAAGAAGAGAAATGTACATCTCTCATTCCTTAATTTATAATTAGATCCTTGTTTACATTTAATCTTTATTCATGTTTAATTAACTTTTTTAGATGGATTTTTACATAATAAAAACTTGTGTTGGAATGTTTATAAAGGACCATAAAATAAATGATTTGATGTTAATCGAAGTGAATTTTAATGTGTGAAAAACATACGCGCACTAACATAATCGCATATTAGTATATAACATATACCATTGTAAAAATAAAGAGCATTGTGAGATATTTTCAGATACCAATTATGTATAATTTACAATTTTCTATAATTTTACGTATTTTATTGTTTTTTGAAGCATATATTCACAAAAAGTCAATGAAAGTAAAAATTTTACAGTTTCTGTCTTATTTTAAATAGTAAAACACATAAATGAAAAAGTAAAATATGCTGTAGAAATTGTCATAATATATAATCCTACAGATTAATCTACAGATTCGGACTAACATAATAGATAATAGGATGTTATTGACATATACATATATACATACATGTTCGACAATTGAGAATCAACGATGAATAAAATATAGCTATTATCTTTCTGCGATATTTATTGTATTAATTAATATAAATAATAAAGTAAGAAAATTTTGTGACTGCTACAATTTGAATTGGTGCAAAAGAATTAATAAATAAAAAAATAAAAATAAAAATAAAAAAATTAACTAATTTGATAACTTTTTTTAACACTATCAATATATGCGAAATATGACGTAATAAATTTCACATCTATTATTATCTATTATTTTGAAACTTATATAATCGATAGTGTGTTGCATTTGTATAAGTATAAATAGGTACGTTAATAAAAGACAATAATTTTTATATTTTCAAATATACATAATTCTTTTGTATTGAAGGAGACGATAAAAGCTTATAAATGATATTAGATTTTGTATGATATTAGCATAATTTCAGATTTTGCAAATTCATCTCAATTTTAGAATCTCAATTTTAATTCCTCAGTTTCCGATTCAGCGACTTTTGGACCGATATATTTTGCTTTTCTACATCTTTGTAAAGAGATCAAAAAGAAACATAGAAATTAAAATTACGAATTGAGATTTATTCACAAACATCTGCATAGTCTGTTCATTTTGAGTTTGTATTTAATCCATGAAATTTTATATTCTTATAAAGTTTAGATTACTAAAATATATACACCCCATATATACGCGCGAATAAAACTACATAAAATTGTAGAATATTCTTATATAGACTACTTGTACATGCATCATTTATTAAATATTCGTATTGTAAGTCGGAAATTTTATTTTAGCTGAGAATTTTATCTGTAAAGATTTGAAAAATGCAAAATGTAAATCTTTCTCTTTTCCTTTCTCTCTTATCGAGAACATTTCATAATGCACAGCACTGGAGTTGTAAATTGTAAAATTTAAATACATAAAAGTTGGTAAAATTTAATAAAATAATTGATAACTTGAAATAAAATTATTTTAATTAAGCTTAAATAATAAATAATACAAATACATGGAAATTAGTAAGATTTCAAATAACTGATAAATTTGAAAAAATATATTATTTTAATTAAACTTAAATAAAGAACAATAAATAAATAAATAGTAATAATGAAGAATAATTAATAAATAAATTATTTACCACGTTCTATCTTTCAAGTGCATAGAAAAAAGTGGTAATTTTTGCTAGTTCTTAATTACATTTTCTGCGCATGCCTTGACAAATCGTTATACCTGTATCTAGATGAAAACAACAATAAGGCTTTAAAATTTGAGGTCAAAATTAATAATAAAGAATAGAACGTCTGCAGTGTGAAAACATCTCTCATGTAGATCAAACACACATATTTATGCTCTTTGTAATCGGCACATTTCGTGTATTGCGAAAAGCAAGGATAATTCATTACGCGAATAGTATTTTGCAATCACTTTAATTTATATTCCTTCCTTGTGTTTTGTTTCTTATAATGTCTGACTGTAAAATAACGCGCTTACCAGAGGAGATAATAGCCATCATTCTCAGCTATAATGTTATCACTATTGAAGATATCATCAACTTTCGATGCGTGTGCAAGCAATTTCGTTATGCAGCAGCTACATATAACAAGTTCTTGGAAAAAAAGTTATTTCAGAGGTAATTCTTGTGATTTGTAAATTTTTTTATTTTATCTCAATATCCTTTGTCACATAATGTATATCACTTCAGCAAAGAATGTCTTTTATAAATATAAAATAAATAAAACCTATTAAGAATATAGTGTTAAAAAAACAAAAACTTCAACAATATACATAAAAACAGATAGAAAACAATAGATTAAAAAGATACAAAACGGACACAACAGCGTATTAGATACGTAATTTTCAAAATAATTTCTTCAATTATTCAATTTATTCTTTCTACTGATTCAATTAGTAAAATGATTTAATTATTGTTTATAGTAATTAAAAGTAATCCAATTTTTTAGATTTTTAGTTCACGTTAGCACATTGTCTTAAGAATTTTATTACATTATTATTTAAAAAAATATAATATAATATGTACAATAATATATAATATAATTTTATATAACATATATAGTACAATTTAAAAAAATAATATATTAGAAATATTAGATATGTTGTATTTATCTTGCATATTAAATTACTTTACTTTTATATTGAATCGCTTAAATTTAAATCTTTTATTTTATTATCGTATTTTATTTTACTTAATAATTTTTTCATTGCTCAATAATGAATTTGGCAATTTCCACCGTTATATATATACATATATGTATAAACATATATATATATATATATATATATATATATATGTTTATTTGGAATGTAAACATTAAATAATATACTGATAAGAATTCTTAATTTTCGGCTGTCAAAAATCAAAAGACCAAATATTTTTCGACTAATACTGACTAATTGATGTTCATTTATTAATCACAAAACGTTTCGACCACAGTGTTTAGACCATATAATTTTGATCCTTCGCATACTTGACAGTACACCTGAGAAGGATAACAATTTTATGAAATGTTGTGGGATTAATTAAATAAATATTAATTGACCTGTATTGGTCAAAAAATATTTAGCCATTAAATATATTTTTTAAGATTTAAATATTAAAAATACAATTTAAAAGTAACATTGCTTATTTATTTTAATGTGTATTTCTCAATATATTAGATTGTACTTTAAAAATAAAGATTATAAATATATGATATATATTCGTGCTTAAAACAAACAAAATTGATATTTTTCTATCGGTTCTTTTTTATAAATAGCATTGAAATCACAATAAAATCTTCATAAAAGTAAAAACGTACCAAGTGACATATATAAGCACAGTCGGCATTCTATGTAAATATGCTTCCGAAAAAATTGTTCTACAAAATATTTTATAAAAACTTACATTTGATGTTTATTTAATTAATCACACAATGTTTCGACCACGGTGTTTCGACCATTTAATTTTGGTCTTTCGCACACTTAACAGTAACACTTGAGAAGGCTAAAAATTATATGAAACGTTGTGTGATTAATTAAATAAATATTAATTAGTTTATATATATAACGGTCGAAAAATATTCAGTCATTAAATAATTTTTTTTAGATTTAATTATTAAAAATACAACATAAAAGTAACTTTGCTTATTTATTTTAATGTGTATTCTTCAATATATTTAATTGCATTTTTAAATATAAAAATTATATAAATGATATATATTCGTGATAGAAGCAAACACATTTGATATTTTTCTATCGGTTCTTTTTTATAAATAGCATTGATATCACAATAAAAACTTTATAAAAGTAAAAACGTGCCAAGTAACATATATAAGCACAGTCGACATTGTATGTAAATATGCTTTCAAAAAAATTGTTCTACAATATATTTAAAAAGAAACTTAATATATACATACATACACATACGAACATTAATGTTTATTCATTGCATATAGAATACACTTATAGAATTACGCAATATACATGTTAGAATCTTTGAAAATATAGTTTTAATGTATGTTTGATGACATGTAGATCAAAAATAAATATTAAACCACTGTTATTCAGTATAAATTATAAATTTATAGTATAAATTAAATAACAAATTAAAATAGAATAATATATACTTTAGTTTTTTTATTAAAATATAAAAAGAAGTGATATTTTGACTGATACTTTGAATATTGTATACAGTGAAAAATTTATAATTTGAAAAGATAATACAAATATGTATTATCTCTATATCTGCATTAAAAAAAAGTATTATTTTTACTATCTAATTTATGTAGAATAATTTTCAGATAATTTTGGTTTAGAGTCATAGCGCATAAAAATACTTGATGTAGACAGTAAAGCGATAAATATTTATAAATAAAAATATGAATATACGTATAATGTTGCATCTCTTTTATAATTTACATATTTTGTATAACTGTGTTTTACATAAGCAGTATTAAAAATTATTTAGATAAATCTTCATATAATTTTATCTTTCATTAGATATACTTTCAAACATACTTAAAACAAAATTATCTAAGACAAATTTACATATTTTTATCTCGTTTTTATCTAGCTAATTTTAAATTAATCTTAACACAACATTGTATCATTATCAAAAATTTATTACAGTATTTTATGGTCGTGTTTTAGATGGCCTATTACAAAAAGAAGATATGAAAATCTTAATACAACAAAGGGTGAAGGAAATATAAACTTTGTTACAAAGGGCATAAATTCTGCGATACAATTGCGAAATTATTTGTCTCAAATTCTTTTTTACGATTATTTTTACAATAATAGATCAAACAAAAATTATTTCAATGACTCAATCAATAATATATTGAAATTCGATAATGTAAGAAAATTCTCGGGTAACATCAATGTATATGTAAAGCGTTTGTATAAAAATATACTTTTTCTTGAGCCTACAGATAAGTATATAGACGAACTAAAATATATGTTTTATATTGAGGAGATTAAATGCTTGTTAACACAATTTCCACAGTAAGATCTTTATTTATATCATAGTGCTACTATTATTACAATTTAATGTATTTATTCATTAGTTAATACTTCAATACATGAATTTTTTAGCAGAATCGATCGCAATTCATTCGAAAGATATTGCAATATAGAAAAGTCTCACTATGTGAAGTTATCCTCGATAGGAAATGATTTGGACAGATATAGAGAGAAACCTGAAAGAGAACAGCTTTTGGAAGTAACTTGTACTTTCGTGGTACAACAAATTCAACTTCGAAAAAATGTATGTTACACGAATATAAGTGCATCATTGGATACAATCGCACAAGAGGTACTGATATTTCTTAGAGAGAAGCATCCCAACCATTCGATATTCTCCACGTCTGAAGAAACGTTTTCCTATTGGAAAACCAACAGTATCGAAGATAATCATTGGGATGAAACAGAAAGTACGCAGATTATGGATACACTTCAGGAATATATATTTGGCATTTTGAACTTTCGACCATGTAGCTACTCACGTAAAGTAGATCTCAAAAGTTTATGTATAGATTATGTAAGTTATAATACATTATAATATCTATATAATTATGGGCATATACGTACATGTTATATGTTGTTTTTAATATTCTCTCGCCTTGATTAATTTATTCTGTATTATACCTGACGCAGGTTTTACAAAGTAAATATGGTCAACATATCATTGTATTTACAATATTTAGTAGCGTGGCTAGAAGACTTGGTCTACGTTGCGACGTAATAGTTTTTCTGACTAAAATCTCTATATTTTGGAAACCAAAATAGTAAGTACAGATATATTAGATTCGACATTATTATAATTTTTCGGTAATTTTTCTTCTCTTATTATACGCATACATATATATATATATATGTTTTATTATAAAAATTTTAATAATAATTAAGAAAATATTTTAATTGTTTACAGCGTCACAAATAATTTAAAAAATGCACGATGTTTGTACATGACACACGAGAAATTCCCGAATTGTCTTAGAAATTATCTATCAGCTAACACGTTATGTAGAGCACTCGCCATCACAATTACAACTACAGAGGTTGAAAATTACTTATTTATTACTTCTAATAATTTTAAGTTATTAATATATACTTGTAAATTTACAAAGAATCAATATATTACACTAAATATGTATAAGAAGAAGAGAAATGTGCAATCTCTCATTTTTTGATTTATAATTGGATCCTTGTTTACATTTATCTTTGTTCATGTTTAATTAATTTTTTTAGATGTCGTTGATGATAAGAAGTTTCGTTGGCGAGTTTATAATGGAACATGAAATAACCGCTTTGGGATTAGTCCAAGTGAAATTTAATGTGTAAAGAACATACGCGAACGAATATAATCGCATCTTAGTATATAATATATATCATTGTGAAAATAAATAGTTTTATGAGATTGTTTCCGATAAAAATTATGTATCATTTACATTTTTTATAATTTAACGTGGTTAAGTGTTCATTGAGGCATTTATTCACAAAAAATTCAATTGAAATAAAACTTTTACAGTTTCTGTCTTATATTTCGTTTTAAATAATAGAATAAATAAATGAAAACGTAAAATATGCTGTAGAAATTATAATATATAATCCATCTACAGATCAATCTACAGATTCGGACCAACATAATAGATAATGGGATGTTATTGACATATACATACGAGTATATACATACATGTTTGACAATTGAAATTCAACGATAAATAAAATATATCTATTATCTTTCTGCGATATTTACTGTAGTAAATAATATAAATGATAAAGTAAGAAAATTTTGTGACTGCAACAAATTGAATTGGTGCAGAAGAATTAATAAATCTTAAAATAAAAAAATTAATTTGTTCGTTAACTTTTTTTAACACTTTAATTATATGCATAATATGACGTAACTAATTTGCATCTATTAATATCTATTATTTTGAAACTTTTATTATCGATAGTATGTTGCATTTGTATAAGAATAAACATTATATTTATATTTTGCACTAATTCCTTAATGTTTATATTTCAAAATATCGAAGATTTAAATAGGCGTATAAAGAATTAAAAGAAATAATAAAAACTTATTAATGATATTATTTTGAATGAAATTAGGATAATTGCAGATTTTGCAAATTCATGCAAGATACAAGCAAGATTTTGAAATTTTACTAATTCCAACAACTCAAATCTTCCTTTTATGCAGAGGATCTCTTCAATGGATGAGGCATTACTTTAAAAAATATAACGAACAACGTGCAACATGCGAAATCTGTGATAAAAATTTCATCCTATCATCTAGCGATACATGTATGAAATATCATATAATAGTAAAGCAAAAAGAAATTTATACATAATGTTTCAGGTGTGCGGCCTTCTTATTCTATATCAGGAAATATATTAAAATGAGATGATTGTACAAAGACTTATACCAAAATATTTTATATACCTGAAAATATAAAAAAAAAAACATATAATTGAAACGCACGTGCTTAGAACAGCAAATATACTCCACACTTAAGTATAGAACACATTTAAGATCATTCAGAAAAGCAAGATTTGCGACAAGTTAAACGAGATAAATAATTCTTTTAAATTAATGATACATTTATTTCAATTTCATAAAATATCCTTGAATTTCCCTAAATAGTACCAAAGGAATAATAGAATATAGAATTTTATGAATTTTTTCTCCATAAGAGAAGAAAGGAAAGAGAGAGATTTATATTTTTCAAATCTTTATACAGATAAAATTCTCAGCTAAAATAAAATTCTTGATTCTTACAACACGAATGTTTATATGAATTATTTCGCTAGAACATTATATATACATTTTTTATTGAAATGTTTAGTAATACATATGTGCATCTAAAAATGTTGAACAAAAATTTTTTATGTTTTACATTTGATCAAAAAATGAACGTCACGCGTTAGATAAAAATACTTTTTCATTTTTTCTCCAAACACATATAATTTGCGATACATATTTTTCCCTTATATGTGATTTTCATAATCATCTTTGTTCATGTTTAATTAAACTTTTTTTATGTGAATAATAAAAAGTATCGCTAGAATATTTATAACGCAACAATTTCACAAAAATAAAATAAAAATTGGCCAGACTCACCGACACAATGCACAACACTGAAGCTGTAAACTGTAAAATATAAATACAAAAGATTAGTAAAATTTAATTAAATAATTTTAATTAAACTTAAATAATATATAATATAAATACAAGAAAATTAGTGAAACTTGATATAATTGATAAATTAAAAAAAAATAATTATTTTTATAAAGCTTAAATATAGAACAATAAATAAATAAATAGTAATAATAAAATAAATAATAAATAAATTATTTACCACGTTCTATCTTTCAAGCGCATAAGAAAAAATAATAAATTTGCTAGTTCTTAATTACATTTTCTGCGCATGCTGTGGCAAGTTCTTATACCTATATCTTAGTGAAAACAAGCAAAAAGGCTTTAAAATTTGGGGTCACATTTCATAATAAAGAACAGACCGTCTGTAGTGTGGAAACGTCTCTCGTATAAATCAAACACACATCTGAGCTCTTTGTAATCGGCAAACTCATTTCGTGTACTGCGAAAAGCAAGGAATTAATTACGCGTATAGTTTATAGCAATCACTTTAATTTACATTCCTTTTTTGTGTTTTGTTTCTCATAATGTCTGATTATAAGATAACGTGCTTACCAGAGGAGATAATAACCATCATTCTCGGCTGTAATGTTATCACTATGGAAAATATCATCAACTTTCGATGCGTGTGCCAGCAATTTCGTTATGCAGCAACCAAATATAACAAGTTCTTAAAAAAAAAGTTATCTCAAAGGTAATTCTTGTGGTTTGTAAATCTTTTTGTTATTTTGTCTCATTAACGCCTGTCGCACAATGATTATCACTTCTGCGAAGAACGTATATTATAAATATGTAAAAAATACAAAATATTAGAAAAATTAGGTATGTTGTATTTATGTAGCATATTAAATTATTCGCTTTCATTTTTCTATTGCTCTATAATATTCACAAACTCTACCGTTATATATATACATATATAATATACATATACATATATATATATATATATATATATATGGAATATAAACGTTAAATATAATATACTGATAAGAATTCCTTATTTTCGGCTGTCACAAATTAAAAGACCAAATATTTTTCAACCGACATTTTTCAATTAATGTTTATTTAATTAATCACACAACGTTTCGACCACGGTGTTTGGACGATATAATTTTGGTCCTTCGCACACTTAACAGTAACACTTGAGAAAGCCATAAATTATATGAAACGTTGTGTAATTAATTAATAAAATATTAATTAGCCTACATGTATATCGGTCGAAATATATTCAGTCATTAAATAATTTTTTTTTAGATTTAATTAGTAAAAATACAACATAATAGCAACTTGGTTTATTATAATGTGTATTGTTCAATATATTTAACTACATTTTTAAATATAAAAATTATATTAATAATATATATTCGTGATAAAAGCAAACACATTTGATATTGTTCTATCGGTTCTTTTTTATAAATAGCATTAAAATTACAATAAAATTTTTATAAAATTGAAAACATGCCAAGTGACATATATAAGCACAGTCGACATTGTTTGTAAATATGCTTTCGAAAAAATTGTTCTACAAAATATTAAAAAAAAAACTTAATCTATACATACATACACATTAGCACATTAATGTTTATTAATTGCATATAGAATACACTTATAGAATTATGCAATATACATATTGAAATCAAAATTTGAAAAGTATAAATTAAATTACAAATTAAAATTGACTATTATATATTTTCTTTTTCTAATTAAAATATAAAAAAAAGTGTCATATATATACTCATGCTTTGAATTGTACACTTTAAAAAATTTATTAATTTGAAAAATTATTTGTGCAATCACATTGTTTACTATCATCAAAGTTTGCTGTGTGTTATCTAAATAAAATTAAATGGAAGAACTGTAGCGTCATCTTATCTGCAAATAGATAATATAAATATGTATTATCTTTATATCTGCATCTTACAAATAGGTAAAAAAAAGTACTACCTTTACTATATTATTTATCTAATATAATATTCAGATAATTTTGGTTTAAAACCATAGCACATAAGAATACTTAAAGTAGACAATAAAGTGATAAAAATTTATAAACAAAAATATGTATGCATATATTGTTGTATCTTTTTCATAATTTATACTTCTTGTATAACTGTGTTTACATAAGCAGTTTTAAATATTATTATCTAAACAATTATCTAAATAAATCGTCATATAATTATATCTTTTATCTCCTAAATACACTTAAAACAAAAACATCTTTATCCTATCTAAGATAAATTTACATACTTTTATCTCATCTTTATCCAGCTAATTTATAAATTAATCTTGACACAACACTAAGTATCATTATCAAAAATTTATTACAATATTTTATGGTCGTATTTTAGATGGCCCTATGCGAAGAAAAGATATGAAAGTCTTACGGAGAAAGAAAACAAAGAAAACCTAAACTTTGTTACAATAGGCATAAATTCTGCGACACATGTGCGGAATTATTTGTCTCACATTCTATTTTATTGTTACAATAATAAATCAAATCAAAAGTACGTCGATTACTTATTTGGTAATTTATTGAAAATAAAAAATAATGTAAAAAAATTCAGTGGTAATATCGATAAATATGTACATTCTTTGCCTCAAAATCTATTTTTTCCTGATCGTCCACATGAGCCTACAAATGTGCTGAAATATATGTTTTATATTGAGGAGATTAAATGCTTGTTAACACAATTTCCACAGTAAGATTTTCATATATATTATAATTATATATATAATAATCATATATATTATATAATTTAAAGTATTTATTCATTAGTTAATACTTCAATATACATTTTTTAGGGATCGCAAATCAATCGAAAGTTATTGCAATATAGAAATGTCTCACTATGAAAAGCTATCTTCGATACAAAATGAGTTGGACAGATATAAAAAGAGACCTGAGAGAGAACAGCTTTTGGAAGAAATTTGTACTTTCGAATCAAAATTTATTCAAGTTCGAGAAGATGTATGTTACACGAATGTAAGTGCATCATTGGATACAATCGCACAAGAGGTACGGAATCGTCTCAGAGAGAAGCATCCAAATCATTCAATTTTCTCCACGTCTGATAAAACTTTTTCTTATTGGAAAACCAACAATATCAAAGATAATCATTGGGACAAAACAGAAAGTACGCAGATTATGGATACACTTCAAGAATATATATTTGGCACTTTAAATTTTCGAGTATGTATGTCCGTACCCGAAGATATCAAATGTTTGTGTATAGATTATGTAAGTTGTTATAGATTATAATATATATAATTATGGGCCATATATGTATACGTTATATGTTGTTTTTAATATTCTCTCGCTTTGATCAATTTGTTCTGTATTATACCTGGCACAGGTTTTACAAAGTAAATTTGGTGAAGAAAAAATTGTATAAACAATATTTCATAGCGTGGCTAGAAGACTTGGTCTACGTTGCGATGTAGTAGATATGTGGTCTCGCGTCTGTATATCTTGGAAACCAGAATTGTAAGTATAGATATATATTAGAATTGACATTATCATTATTTCTCGATAATCTTTTTTTTTTATTATACGCATACATATATAATTTTTTATTATAAAAATTTTCATATGATTAAGGTAATATTTTATTTGTTTACAGCGTCACGAAGAATTTAGAAAATGCAAGATGTTTTTCCATAAAAGACGAGAAATTCCCGAATTGTCTTGATAATTATCTGCAAAATTGCGATTCTTATGAAACATATGACGTCAGCAAAATAAAAACTAAACAGGTTGAAACTTATTTTTTACTTCTATTAATTTTAAGTTATTAATATGCTTGTAAATTGACAAGCAATTAATAAATTACATTATATGTGTACAGAAAGAAGAGAAATGCACATCTCTCATTTTTTAATTTATAATTAAATCCTTGTTTACATTTAATCTTTATTCATGTTTAATTAACTTTTTTAGATGTCGTACATAATAAAAGCTAAAGTTGGAAGGTTTATAATAAAACATAAAATATTCAAATTGGGATTAATCCAAGTGAATTGTAATGTGTAAAAAACATCCGCGCGCTAACATAATCGCATATTAGTATATAACATATACCATTGTAAAAATAAAGAGCATTGTGAGATATTTTCAAATAACAATTATGTATAATTTACAATTTTCTATAATTTTACGTGTTTTAAGTGTTTATTGAAACATTTATTCAAAAAAAATCAATCAAAGTAAAAATTTTACAGTTTCTGTCTTATTTTAAATAGTATAACACATAAATGAAAACGTGAAATATGCTGTGAAAATTATCATAATATCTAATCCACCTACAGATCAATCTACAGATTCGGACCAACATAATAGATAATAGGATGTTATTGACACATACATATATACATACATGTTCGACAATTGAGAATTAACGATGAATAAAATATATCTATTATCTTTCTGCGATATTTATTGTATTAGATAATATAAATAATAAAATAAAAAAATTTTGTGACTGCAACAATTTGAATTGGTGCAGAAAAATTAATAAATCTTATAAAAAAAATTAATTAGTTTAATAACTTTTTTTAACACTTTCAATATATGCAAAATATGACGTAATAAATTTGCCATCTATTAATATCTATTATTTTAAAACTTATATAATCGATAGTGTGTTGCATTTGTATAAGTATAAATAGATATGTTAATAAAATACAATGATTTTTATATTTTCAAATATACATAATTCTTTTGTATTGAAAGAGACGATAAAAGCTTATAAATAATATTAGATTTTGTATGTTATTAGCATAATTGCAGATTTTACAAATTCATCTCAAATTTAGAATCTCAATTTTAACTCCTCAGTTTCCGATTCAGCGACTTTTGGACCGATATATTTTGCTTTTCTACATCTTTGTAGGGAGATCAAAAGAAAACATAAGATTAAAAACTCGCATTGAGATTTATTCACAAACATCTGCGTTGAGTTCGCATAGTCTGTTCATTTTGAGTTTGTATTTAATCCATGAAGTTTTATATTTTTATTAAGTTTAAATTGAAAAAATATATACATCCCATATATAGGCGCGAATATAACTACATACAATTGTAGAATATTCTTATGTAAACTATTTGTACATGCATCATTTATTAAATATTTGTATGGTAAGTCGGAAATTTTATTTTAGCTGAGAATTTTATCTGTAAATAATTAAAAAATGCAAAATGTAAATCTCTCTCTTTCCCTTTCTCTCTTATTGAGAACATTTCATAATGCACAGCACTGGAGTTGTAAATTGTAAAATATGAATACATAAAAGTTAATAAAATTTAAAAAAATAAATAACTTAAAATAAAATTATTTTAATTAAGCTTAAATAAAGAACAATAAATAAATAAATAGTGATAATAAAGAATAACTAATATAATAAATTATTTACCACGTTTTATCTTTCAAGCGCATAGAAAGAAATGGTAAATTTGCTAGTTATAAATTACATTTTCTGCGCATGCCGTGACAAATTCTTATACCTGTATCTTAGTGAAAACAAGCAATAAGACTTTAAAATTTGGGGTCACATTTCATAATAAAGAACAGACCGTCTGTAGTGTGGAAACGTCTCTCGTATAAATCAAACACACATCTGAGCTCTTTGTAATCGGCAGACTCATTTCGTGTACTGCGAAAAGCAAGGAATTAATTACGCGAATAGTATATTGCAATCACTTTAATTTACATTCCTTTTTTGTGTTTTGTTTCTCATAATGTCTGATTGTAAAATAACGTACTTACCAGAGGAGATAATAACCATCATTCTCGAATATAATGTTATCACTATTGAGGATATCATTAACTTTCGATGCGTGTGCCAGCAATTTCGTTATGCAGCAACCAAATATAACAAGTTCTTGGAAAAAAAGTTATCTCAAAGGTAATTCTTGTGGTTTGTAAATCTTTTTGTTATTTTGTCTCATTAACGCCTGTCGCACAATGATTATCACTTCTGTGAAGAACGTATATTATAAATATGTAATAAATACAAAATATTAGAAAAATTAGGTATGTTGCATTTATGTTGCATATTAAATTATTCGCTTTCATTTTTTTTATTGCTCAATAATTTTGGCAAACTCTACCGTTATATATATACGTATATATTATATTATACATGTACATATATATATATAGAATGTAAACGTTAAATATAATATACTGATAAGAATTCTTAAGTTTCGGCTGTCATAAATTAAAAGACCAAATATTTTTCAACCGACATTCGTCAATTGATGTTTATTTAATTAATCACACAACGTTTCGACCACGGTGTTTTGACCATATAATTTTGGTCCTTCGCACACTTAACAGTAACACTTGAGAAAGCCATAAATTATATGAAACGTTGTGTAATTAATTAAATAAATATTAATTAGCCTACATGTATATCGGTCGAAATATATTCAGTCATTAATTAATTTTTTTTTAGATTTAATTAGTAAAAATACAACATAATAGTAACTTGATTTATTATAATGTGTATTGTTCAATATATTTAACTACATTTTTAAATATAAAAATTATATTAATGATATATATTCGTGATAAAAGCAAACACATTTGATATTGTTCTATCGGTTCTTTTTTATAAATAGCATTAAAATCACAATAAAATTTTTATAAAAGTAAAAAGCATGCCAAGTCACATATATAAGCACAGTCGACATTGTTTGTAAATATGCTTTCGAAAAAATTGTTCTACAAAATATTAAAAAAAAAACTTAATCTATACATACATACACATTAGCACATTAATGTTTATTAATTGCATATAGAATACACTTATAGAATGATGCAATATACATATTGGAATCAAAATTTGAAAAGTATAAATTAAATTACAAATTAAAATTGACTATTATATATTTTCATTTTCTAATTAAAATATAAAAAGAAGTGCCATATATATACTCATGCTTTGAATTGTACACTTTAAAAAATTTATTAATTTGAAAAATGACTTGTGCAATCACATTGTTTACTATCATCAGAGTTTGCTGTGTGTTATCTAAATAAAATTAAATAGAAGAACTGTAGCGTCATCTTATCTACATATAGATAATAAAAATATGTATTATCTTTACATCTGCATCTTACTAATAAATACAAAAAAATACTACCTTTACTATATTATTTATTTAAAATAATTTTCAGATAATTTTGATTTAGAATCATAGCACATTGGAATACTTAAAGTAAACAATAAAGCGATAAAAATATGAATATATATATTGTTGTATCTTTTTCATAACTTATATTTCTTGTATAACTGTGTGTACAGAAGCAGTCTTAAATATTATTATCAAAACAATTAAATAAATAAATCGTCATATAATTATATCTTTTATCTAGATATACTTAATACAAAATCATCTTTATCCTATCTAAGATAAATTTACATACTCTTATCTCATCTTTTTCCAGCTAATTTATAAATTAATCTTGACACAACACTAAGTATCATTATCAAAAATTTATTACAATATTTTATGGTCGTATTTTAGATGGCCCTATGCTAAGAAAAGATATGAAAGTCTTACGGAAAAAGAAAAAGAAGAAAACCTAAACTTTGTTATAATAGGCATAAATTCTGCGACACAATTGCAAAATTATTTGTCTCAAATTTTTTTTTATGATTATTATTACAATAATAGATCAAATCAAAATTACTTCGATAACTCATTTACTAATGTATTGGAATTAACAAATAATGTAAAAGAATTCAGTGGTAATATCGATAAATATGTACATTCTTTGCCTGCAAATCGATGTTTTTTTTATCCTCGACATAAGCCTATAGATGTGCTGAAATATATGTTTTATATTGAAGAGATTAAATGCTTCTTAACACAATTTCCACAGTAGGATTTTCATATATATTATAATGCTACTATTATTACAATTTAATGTATTTATTCTTTAGTTAATACTTCAATATACATTTTTTAGGGATCGCAAATCAATCGAAAGTTTTTGCAATATAGAAATGTCTCACTATGCGAAGCTATCTTCCATACGAAATGAGTTGGACAGATATACACAGAAACTTGAAAGAGAACTACTTTTTGAAGAAACATGTACTTTCATAGCACAACAAATTCAACCTCGAAAAGATGTATGTTACACGAATGTAAGTACATCATTGGATCCAATCGCACAAGAGGTACTGAATCGTCTCAGAGAGAAGCATCCGAACCATTCGATATTCTCCACGTCTGAAGAAACTTTTTCTTATTGGAAAACCAACAATATCAAAGATAATCATTGGGACCAAACAGAAAGTATGCAGATTATGGATACACTTCAGGAATATATATTTGACACTTTGAACTTTCGAGTATGTATCCTCGTACCCGAAGATATCAAATGTTTCTGTATAGATTATGTAAGTTATTAGAGATTATAATATATATAATTAGGGGCCATATACAGGGTTTGTCCGGAAAGTAATGCGTCGCATTTTTTTGTGACGCGACTATACATCGCAGAGCGATGGGACCGGTTGGGGAGGAAGGGGGGTACCCTTAGCTTTCCAACGGTAGGTCGCTCAATTGTTTCCATGCGCTTGGAGGGTTAGGACGGCTTATTCTGTGAACCTCTGCTTAGTGGTCGCGTCGAACTTGTGATGGAGAGAACGATAGAGCAACGCTATGCGATAAAGTTTTGCGTGAAGCTGGACAAGACGCCGCTGGAAACTTTTGAAATGCTCAAGAAAGTTTGGCCCCGGCGGACTTTTTTTTATTTCCTCGGCTGAAAAGGGAGCTCAAAGGACAACAGCTCGAGTCGGTTGACAACGTACAAGCTACTTCGACGGCCTCCCTGAACAGCATCCCAGTCAAGGAGTTCCAGAAATCTTATGACGCATGGAAATCGCGTTGGCAAAAATGTATTGACGCAGAAGGGTCATACTTCGAACAATTTTAAGTTGTTTTACCTATGCGATCAATAAATTCTTTTTTAAAAAAATGCGACGCATTACTTTCCGGACAAACCCTGTATGTATATGTTATATGTTGTTTTTAATATTCTCTCGCTTTGATTAATTTGTCCTGTATTATACCTGGCACAGGTTTTACAAAGTAAAGTTGGTGAAGATATCATTGTATATACAATATTTCATAGCGTGGCTAGAAAACTTGGTCTACGTTGCGATCTAATAGATATTTGGTCTGCCTGCTGTATATTTTGGAAACCAGAATTGTAAGTATAAATATATATTACAATTGACATTATCATTATTTCTCGATAATCTTTCTTTTTTTTATTATACGCATACATATATAATTTTTTATTATAAAAATTTTTATATGATTAAGGTAATATTTTATTTGTTTACAGCGTCACGAATAATTTAGAAAATGCAAGATGTTTTTTCATAAAAGACGAGAAATTCCCGAATTGTCTTCATGATTGTCTACAAGAATACAAGTCTCATAACACATATAAAGACGTCAACAAAATAGAAACTGAACAGGTTGAAACTTATTTTTTACTTCTATTAATTTTAAGTTATTAATATGCTTGTAAATTGACAAGCAATTAATAAATTACATTATATGTGTACAGAAAGAAGAGAAATGTACATCTCTCATTTTTTAATTTATAATTAAATCCTTGTTTACATTTAATTTTTATTCATGTTTAATTAACTTTTTTAGATGTTCTACAAGATAAGAACTTTAGTTGGAAGGTTTATAATGGGACATAAAATAATCAAATTGGGATTAGTCAAAGTGCATTGTAATGTGCTAATAACATACCCGCACTAACATAATCACATGTTAGTATATAATATAAACAATTGTAAAAATAAAGAACTTTGTGAGGGTCTTGCAGATAACAGTTATGTATAATTTACCATTTTTTATAACGTAAAATATGCCGTAGTAATTATCATTATATATAATTGATTTACAGATCAATTTACAGATAGTTGAGCCAACATAATGAACGGATGTTTTTGACATATACTATATACATATATTTTCGACTTTTATATTATAGATATAAATATTATGCCCTATTTTTGTATGCAATGTCAAGTGAAAATCAACGCGATGAATGAAATATATTTATTATTCTCTCTGCTATAATTATTGTATTAATTAATATAAACGATAAAGTAAGAAAAATTGTGTGTGTGTGTGTGTGTGTGTGTGATTGAACAATTTGAATTAGTGCAGTAGAATTTATAAATTTTAAAATTTAGAAATATTAATTAGTTTATTAACTTTTTTAACACTCTATAAGTATATGCAACATATGACGTAATATAAATTTGCCATCTATTAATATCTATTATCTTGAAACTGTTAATGTATTGCACTTGTATATAAGTATAAACAGGTATGTTATATAATAAAACTTATACATAATGCTCCAAGTGTGCGCCCATATTATTTTATATCAGAAAATATATTAAAAAGGGATAATTGTACGAAGACTTATACCATAATTTTTTATATATCTTAAAATATGAAAAAACACATTATTGAGAAACACGCATGCCTAGAGAAGGAACAGCAAATTTACTCCAAACTAAGTACAGAACACATTTAGGGTCATTTAGAATCGCAAGATTTGCGACAAGTTTAACAAGATAATTAATTCTTTTAAATTAATGATATTTATTTCAACTTTATAATATCTCTGCACCTCCCCAAATGCTACCAAAGGAGTAAGTAAAAAACTGATAAATATGAATATTACTATTTAGGTTTTTTTTAGATATTAATATAAACTTTTGAAAAATAAATGAACAAATATACTTAATGAATAATAAAGTTAGTCTCGAAATAAACAAGGATATGCGAGCCGAACGCGAAGGTTTGTGCGTTAGATAAGAAAAATTAATGTTTCCCCTATGTCTTATAAATTGTGCACGAGGCACGAAATTTGCTTAGCATAGTGCTAACAATAAGACTATTTAGGAATAAATCTCAACTTGGTTCTCAATTTTAGAATGTCTATTTTAATTCCTAAGTTCCCGATTCAGCGACTTTTGGACCGATATATTATGCTTTTCTACATCTTTGTAGGGGGATCAGAGGAAAACATAAGAATTAAAATTCCGAATTGAGATTTATTCACAAACATCCGCGTTGAGTTCGCACAGTCTGTTCATTCTAAATTTGCTTTTAATCCATGGAGTTTTTATATTCTTATAAAGTTTAGATTTCTAGAATATATACATCCCGTATATACGCGCGAATAAAACTACATACAATTGTAGAATATTCTTATGTAAACTATTTGTACATGCATCATTTATTAAATATTTGTATGGTAAGTCGGAAATTTTATTTTAGCTAAGAATTTTAACTGTAAAGATTTGAAAAATGCAAAATGTAAATCTCTCTCTTTCCCTTTCTCTCTTATCGAGAAAATTTCATAATGCACAGCACTAGAGTTGTAAATTGTAAAATATGAATACATGAAAGTTGGTAAAATTTAATAAAATAATTGATAACTTGAAATAAAATTTTTTTAATTAAGCTTAAATAATACATAATATAAATACATAAAAATTAGTAAAATTTAAAATAACTAATACATTTGTAGAAATATATTATTTTAATTAAACATAAATAGAGAACAATAAATAAATAAATAATAATAACAAAGAATAAATAATAAATAAATTATTTATCACGTTCTATCTTTCAAGTGCATAGGAGAAAATGGTAATTTTTGCTAGTTCTAAATTTCATTTCCTGCGCATGCCGTGACAAATTTTTATATTTGTATCTCATTGTTAGTGGGAAGAAGCAATAAAACTTTAGAATTTAAGGTCAAATTTCATAATAAAGAACAGACCGTCTGTAGTGTAAAAACGTCTCTCGTGTACATCAATCACACATTTGTGCTCTTGTAATCGGCAGATTCATTTCGTGTACTGTAAAAAGAAGGAATTAATTACGCGAATAGTATATTGCAATCACTTTAATTTATATTCTTTTCTTGTGTTTTGTTTTTCATAATGTCTGATTGTAAGATAACGAGCTTACCAGAGGAGATCATAGCCATCATTCTCGGATATAATGTTATCACTATGGAGGATATCATCAACTTTCGATGCGTGTGCAAGCAATTTTGTTATGCAGCCAAATATGACAAGTTCTTGGAAAAAAAGTTATCTCAAAGATAACTCTTGTGGTTTGTAAATCTTTTTGTTATTTTGTCTCATTAACGCCTGTCGCACAATGTATATCACTTCTGCGAAGAACGTATATCATAAATATGAAATAAATAAAAAATATTGAATATATAGTGTAAAAAAATAAAAACTTAAATAATATGTAAACAGATAGAGAAAAATAGATTATATATATGTATAAAAGAAGACAAAACGCACAAATTCTATTCTTTATACTGATTCAATTAATGAACTTATTTATTTATAGTTTATAGTAATGAAAAGTAATCTCATTTTTTAGATATTTTAGTTTACATTAGCATATTGGCTTATGAATTTTATTGCATTATTTATAAAAATATAATACAATTCGTAATATGATATATAATATAATATATAACATATATAGTATATTAAAAAAAAGTATATATTAGAAAAATTAGGTATGTAAAATTTATGTTGCATATTAAAAACTTTACTTTCATTAAATGATTAAATCACTCAAATTTAAATCATTTATTTTATTATCATATTTTATTTTACTTAATTATTTCTTTTATTGCTCAATAATAAATTTGACAAACTCTACCGTTATATATACATATATACATACACATATATATATATATATATATATATATATACATGTATAGGTTTGTTCGGAATGTAAACATCAAATAATATAGTAATAAGAATTCATAATTTTCAGCTGTCAAAAATTAAAAGACCAAATATTTTTCGACCGATACTTGCCAATTGATGTTTGTCTAATTAATCACACACCGTTTCGACCACGGTGTTTCGACCATAACTTTGGTCCTTCGCACACTTGACAGTACACTTGAGAACGACAGAAATTCTATGAAACGTTGTGTGATGAATTAAATAAATATTAATTGGCCTGTATCGGTCGACAAAGATTTAGTCATTAAATAATTTCTTTTAGATTTTTAATTACTAAAAATGTAACGTAAAATTAACTTTGCTTATTTATTTTAATGTGTATTCTTCAATATATTTAATTGTATTTCAAAAATAAAGATTATATTTTTGATATATATTTGTGATTAAAACTAACAAGATTGTTATTTTTTATCGGTTTTTTTAATAAATAACACTAAAATCATAATAAAATCTTTATAAAAGTAGAACCATACCAAGTGACATATATAAGCAGAGTCAACATTGTATGTAAATATGCTTTCGAAAAAATTGTTCTAAAAATAATTAAAAAAAAATTTTAATATATACACACACGCACATTAATGTTTATAATTAGCATGTAGAATACACATATAGAATTACGCAATATACATAGAGTCAAAATTTGAAAATATAATTTTAATATACTTTTAGAAATATGTAATTCAAAAATAAATATTTACATTAATAATTACAAATTTAAATTAAATATTATATATTTTATTTTTCTGATTAAAATATAAAAAGAAGTGACATATATATACTCATGCTTTGAATTGTACAAAATTGTAAAAAATTTTTTAATTTGAAAAATTACTTGTGCAATCACATTTTTTACTATCATCACAGTTTGCTGTGTGTTATCTAAATAAAATTAAATGCAAGAACTGTAGCGTCATCTTATCTGCATATAGATAATAAAAATATGTATTATCTTTATATCTGCATCTTACGAGTAGATAAAAAAAAGTACTATCATTACTATATTATTTATCTAAAATAATATTCAGATAATTTTGGTTTAGAATCATAGCACATGAAAATACTTAAAACAAACAATAAAGCGATAAAAATTTATAAATAAAAATATGTATACATATATTGTTGTATCTTTTTCATAATTTATATTTCTTGTATAACTGTGTTTACATAAGCAGTCTTAAATATTATTATCTAAACAATTATCTAAATAAATCGTCATATAATTATATCTTTTAACTAAATATACTTAAAACAAAATCATCGTTATCTTATCTAAGATGAATTTATCATACTTTTATCTCATCTTTATTCAGCTACTTTTAAATAATTCTTGACACAACACTAAGTATCATTATCAAAAACTTATTACAATATTTTATGGTCGTATTTTAGATGGCCCTATGCGAAGAAAAGGTATGAAAGTCTTACGAAAAAAGAAAAAGAAGAAAACCTAAACTTTTTTACTATAGGCATTAATTCTGCGACACAATTGCGAAATTATTTGTCTCTAATTCTTTTTTACGATTATTTTTACAATAATAGATCAAACAAAAATTATTTCAATGGCTCAATCAATAATATAATTAAATTCGATGATGTAATAAAATTCTCGAGTAAAATCAATGTACATGTAAAGCATAAAAATATACTTTTTCTTGAGCCTACAAATAAGCTTATAAATGAGCTGCAATATATGTTTTATATTGAGGAGATTAAATGCTTGTTAACACCATTTCAACAGTAAAATCTTCATATATATTATAATGCTACTATTATTACAATTTAATGTATTTATTCATTAGTTAATAATTCAATATATATAAATTTTTTAGAGGAATTGATCGCAAATCAATCGAAAGATATTGCAATATAGAAATGTCTCACTATGAAAAGTTATCCTCGATACGAAATGAGTTGGACAGATATAGAGATAAACTAGAAAAAGAACAACTTTTGGAAGAAACGTGTACTTTCATGTCAAAATATATTCAAGTTCGAGAAGATGTATGTTACACGAATGTAAGTGCATCATTGGATACAATCGCACAAGAAGTACGGAATCGTCTCAGAGAAAAGCATCCGAACCATTCGATATTCTCCACGTCTAATAAAACTTTTTCTTATTGGAAAACCAACAATATCGAAGATAATCATTGGGACAAAACAGAAAGTACGCAGATTATGGATACACTTCAAGAATATATATTTGGCACTTTAAATTTTCGAGTATGTAGGTCCGTACCCGAAGATATCAAATGTTTGTGTATAGATTATGTAAGTTATAGATTATAATATATATAATTATGAGCCATATATGTATACGTTATATGTTGTTTTTAATATTGTCTCGCTTTGATTAATTTATTTTGTATTATACCTGGCACAGGTTTTACAAAGTAAAGTTGGTCCACATATCATTTTATATACAATACTTCATAGCCTGGCTAGAAGACTTGGTTTACGTTGCGATCTAATAGAAGTTTACACTCAACTCTGTATATTTTAGAAACCAAAATTGTAAGTATAGATATATATTAGATTCGACATTATCATTATTTGTCGATAATCTTGCTTCTTTTATTATACGCATACATATTTAATTTTTTATTATAAAAATTTTCATATGATTAAGGTAATATTTTATTTATTTACAGCGTAACGAATAATTTAGAAAATTCAAGATGTTTTTACATAAAAGACGAGAAATTCCCGAATTGTCTTCATGATTGTCTACAAAATTACGAGTCTTGTGGAACACATCATAACATCAAAATAGGAACTGAAAAGGTTGAAACTTATTTTTTACTTCTATTAATTTTAAGTTATTAATTTGCTTGTAAATTGACAAGCAATTAATAAATTACATTATATGTGTACAGAAAGAAGAGAAATGTAAATCTCTCATTTTTTAATTTAAAATAAAATCCTTGTTTACATTTAATCTTTATTCATGTTTAATTAACTTTTTTAGATCTGGTCCATGATAAGAACTTCAATTAGAAAATTTATAAAAGAACATAAAATATTCAATTTGGGATTAGTACAAGTAAATTAAAATGTGTAAAAAACATCTGCGCGCTAACATAATCGCATATTAGTATATAACATATACCATTGTAAAAATAAAGAGCATTGTGAGATATTTTCAGATAACAATTATGTATAATTTACAATTTTCTATAATTTTACGTGTTTTAAGTGTTTATTGAAACATTTATTCACAAAAAATCTATCAAAGTAAAAATTTTACAGTTTCTGTCTTATTTTAAATAATATAACAAATAAATGAAAACGTGAAATATGCTATGGAAATTATCATAATATCTAATCCACCTACAGATCAATCTACAGATTCGGACCAACATAATAGATAATAGGATGTTATTGACATATACATAGATACATACACATGTTCGGCAATTGAGAATCAACGATGAATAAAATATATCTATTATTTTTCTGCGATATTTATTGTATTAGATAATATAAATAATAAAATAAGAAAATTTTGTGACTGCAACAATTTGAATTGGTGCAGAAAAATTAATAAATCTTATAATAAAAAAATTAATTAGTTTAATAACTTTTTTTAACACTTTCAATATATGCAAAATATGACGTAATAAATTTGCCATCTATTAATATCTATTATTTTGAAACTTATATAATCGATAGTGTGTTGCATTTGTATAAGTATAAATAGGTATGTTAATAAAAGACAATGATTTTTATATTTTCAAATATACACAATGCTTTTGTATTGAAGAAGACGATAAAAACTTATAATTGATATTAGATTTTGTATGATATTAGCATAATTTCAGATGTTGCAAATTCATCTCAATTTTAGAATCTCAATTTTAATTCCTCAGTTTCCGATTCAGCGACTTTTGGACCGATATATTTTGCTTTTCTACATCTTTGTAGGGAGATCAAAAGAAAACATAGGAATTAAAATCTCGAATTGAGATTTATTCACAAACATCTGCGTTGAGTTCGCATAGTCTGTTCATTTTGAGTTTGTATTTAATCCATAAAGTTTTATATTCTTATAAAGTTTAAATTATTAAAATATATACACCCTATATATACGCGCAAGTAAAACTACATAAAATTGTAGAATATTCTTATATAAACTATTTGTACATGCATCATTTATTAAATATTCGTATTGTAATTCGAAAATTTTATTTTAGCTGGGAATATTATCTGTTAAGATTTGAAAAATGCAAAATGTAAATCTCTCTCTTTCCCTTTCACTCCTATCAAAAACATTTCATAACGCACAGCACTGGAGTTGTAAATTGTAAAATATAAATACATAAAAGTTGGTAAAATTTAAAAAAATAAATGATAACTTGAAATAATATTATTTTAATTAAGCTTAAATAATAAATAACACAAATACATGGAAATTAGTAAGATTTGAAATAACTGATAAATTTGGAAAAATATATTATTTTAATTAAGCTTAAATAAAGAACAATACATAAATAAATAGTAATAATGAAGAATAATTAATAAATAAATTATTTACCACGTTCTATCTTTCAAGAGCACAGGAAAAAGTGGTAATTTTTGCTAGTTCTTAATTACATTTTCTGCGCATGCCGTGACAAATCCTTATACCTGTATCTAGGTAAAAACAACAATAAAACTTTAAAATTTGGGGTCACATTTCATAATAAAGAACAGAACGTCTACAGTGTGGAAAACGTCTCTCGTATACATCAAACACACATCTGTGCTCTTTGTAATCGGCAAACTCATTTCGTGTACTGCGAAAAGCAGAGAATTAATTACGCGAATAGTATATTGCAATCACTTTAATTTATAATCCTTTTTTGTGTTTTGTTTTTCATAATGTCTGATTGTAAGATAACGCGCTTACCAGAGGAGATAATAGCCATCATTCTCGGCTATAACGTTATCACTATTGAGGATATCATTAACTTTCGATGCGTGTGCAAGCAATTTCGTTATGCAGCCAAATATGACAAGTTCTTGGAAAAAAAGTTATTTCAGAGGTAATTCTTGTGATTTGTAAATCTTTTTGTTATTTTGTCTCATTAACGCTTGTCGCACAATGTACATCACTTCTGCGAAGAACGTATATTATAAATATGTAATAAATACAAAATATTAGAAAAATTAGGTATGTTGCATTTATGTTGCATATTAAATTATTCGCTTTCATTTTTTCTATTGCTCAATAATTTTAACAAACTCTACCCGTTATATATATACATATATAATATACATATACATATATATATATATATATATATGGAATGTAAACGTTAAATATAACATACTAATAAGAATTTTTAATTTTCGGCTGTCATAAATTAAAAGAACAAATATTTTTCAACCGACATTTGTCAATTGATGTTTATTTAATTAATCACACAATGTTTTGACCACAGTGTTTCGATCATATAATTTTGGGGTCCTTCGCACACTTAACAGTAACACTTGAGAAAAACAAAAATTATATGAAACGTTGTGTGATTAATTAAATAAATATTAATTGGCCTGTATTGATCGAAAAATATTTAGTCATTAAATATTTTTTTTTTTATTTAATTTGGTAAAAACTAAATTTAAAAGTAACTTTGCTTATTTATTTTAATGTGTATTTTCAATATATTTAATTGCATTTTTAAATATAAAGATTATATATATGATATATATTCGTGATTAAAACAAACAGATTTTCTATCGGTTCTTTTTCATAATTAGCATTGAAATCACAATCAAATCTTTATAAAAGTAAAAACGTGCCAAGTAACATATATAAGCACAGTCGACATTGTATGTAAATATGCTTTCGAAAAAATTGTTCTACAAAATATTTAAAAAGAAACTTAATATATACACATACATACACATACGCACATTAATGTTTATTAATTCCATATAGAATTCACGTATAGAATTGCGAAATATACATATTAAAATCAAAATTTGAAAATATAGTTTTAATATACTTTTAGGAATACGTAGTTCAAAAATAAATATAAAACTAATGTTATTCATCCAAGTATAAATTAAATTACAAATTAATATTGAATATTATATATTTTAATTTTTCTGATTAAAGTATAATGAAACTTTGGAATCATCTTATCTGCATATAGATAATAAAAATACGTATTACCTTTATATCTGCATCTTAAATGAAAAAAAGTATTCTCTTTACTATATAATTTATCTAGAGTAATTTTCAGATAATTTTGGTTTAAAATCATAGCACATAAAAATACTTAAAGTAGACGGTAAACCGATCAAAATTTAAAAATATTTATAAATATGAATAAATATATATTATTGTATCCCTTTTATAATTAACATTTTTTTATAACTATGTTTTTCAGATGGCCCGATGTAAAGAGACAATATAAAATTTTTAAGAAAACAAAGGATGGACAAAACATGAACTTTCTTGCAAAAGGCCTAACTTGTGCGACACAGGTGCGAAACTGCTTGTCTCACATTCTTTTTTACGATTATTATTACAACAATAAATCAAATCAAAATTATGACATTGACCCAATCGATGATGTAATCGGATTCATTGATAATATAGATGAATATTTGAATCGTTTGTTTGAAAATGAACCTTTTTTTCGAAGACTTACCTCTGCAGATGAGATGAAATACTTGTTCTATATTGACGAGATTAAATACTTCTTATCACCATCTCCACAGTAAGATCTTCATATATATTATAGTGCTACTATTATCACAATTTAATGTTTTATTTTATTGATTAACTTAATATTTCAATACATAATTTTTTTAGAAAAATTGATCGCAATTCAATCGAAAGATATTGCGAAATAAAATTGTCTCACTATGAAAAGCTATCTTCGATACGAAATGAGTTGGACAGATATATAGTGAAACCTGAAAGACAACAGCTTTTGGAAGAAATTTGTACTTTCGTGGCAAAATATATTCAAGTTCGAGAAGATGTATGTTACACGAATGTAAGTGCATCATTGGATACAATCGCACAAGAGGTACTGAATTCTCTTAGAAAGAAGCATCCGAACCATTCGATATTCTCTACGTCTGATGAAACTTTTTCTTATTGGAAAACCAACAATATCGAAGATAATCATTGGAATGAAACAGAAAGTACGCAGATTATGGATACACTCCAGGAATATATATTTGGCACCTTGAACTTTCGACCATGCAGGTCCTTTCGCGTACTTATCAATTGTTTGTGTATAGATTATGTAAGTTATTATAGATTATAATACATATTAATTATGGGCCATATTTAAGTTAGGTTTAATTCAGTTCTTATCACAGAAAAAAACAGTATCCTTGAGAGAATGCAAATACGCCTTGATTCAAGTATGTTTTATCCTTATAATAACGCTAAAAATAAATAGTTTTGGATAAAGGATAATTTATCCTTAAAACAAAGTGCAAAATATTCTTGGTTGAAGCTGAAATTTACTTATAAATATTGCAAGGACAAGTGACAAGTGTGCATCGGATATAAGCGGTACTTTCAAATAAATATAATAATTCTTAGTTCAAATGTGACTAAGTTTGTTTTTACCATATATGCGATTTTTAAAACAAGAATATATCTTAAGGATAAAATATACTTTACACAAACTTATTTATTATTAAGGCAAATGAAAATTTGTGATCACAAAGAGCATTCAAATAGCGTTCAAGAATAAAAATATACTTGAATCAAGGATTCCTTTTTTTCTGTGATTGAATATACAGATTGAAAAATCCTTTACAATGAAAAATACCTATAATATGATGAATGGGAAGCGCTGTCCGGCTACAAATTTTTGCTGTTTTATGCCTCGACATCGATTCCGCACGCAAAGTATACTCAGTAAGCAAAAAATCATTGGTACAACGTCATTATTGCTGTCAAGTATGTACTTTTTAACATTGTATGCAACATCATTATGAACAAACTTTGACATTGATTTAGAGGTTTCAATAATGTTGAAATTAACCTTTAAAATATTTTATTTATATTTTGAGAGCACATTATGTTATTGAATAATATTTTTAAAACATTTATAAAACATCAATTAAAATATTTTTTAAATATTTATTAATAATATTTTAAACATATTTCTACAACATTATATCATAACGTTTGGAAAATTTATATAAAATCAACATTATAAAATGTTGATTAAATATTTCTTGCTTACTGGGTATATACATACATAATTCATTCAAGTACGAATCCGCTGATACAAGCTTTTAATCTCATTTTTATTACTTCTGTATTATTCTTTTATGTTATCTCTATTAAGGACGCCATATTTTGTGCACAAATAATCTGCAGAATACTTTTGTATTAAATAATCTGCAAAATACTTTTGTATTAAATAAGTATTGTTATGAGCTGATGCAACAAACGGATATAAAAACTGTAATTTCTTAACATTTATTGTTTTCTATACAAAATCACAGCGCTCCCCGTTTATTATTATCAGTACTTTAATTGTGAAAAAACATTGTTCAACCTATATAGACAATAAAAAGAAAAGCCCTTGAACTCGAAGTCGGTAAAACAATCATGATCGGCATTCCTTTAATATTCTCTCGCTTTGATTAATTTATTCTGTATTATATTTGGCACAGGTTTTACAAACTAAATATGGTCAAGATATCATTGTAGTTACAATATATCATAGCGTGGCTAGAAGGCTTGGTTTACGATGCGATGTAGTATTTGTTAAAACTGAAACCTGTATATTTTGGAAACCAAAATTGTAAGTATAGATATATATTAGATTCGACATTATCATAATTTTTCGGTAATCTTTCTTTTCTTATTAAACGCATACATATATAATTTGTTATTATAAAAATATTAATAACGATTAAGGTAATATTTTAATTGTTTACAGCGTCACTAATAATTTAGACGATGCGCGATGTTTTCACATAAAAGACGAGCATTTCCCGATGTGTTTTAATCATTTTCCAGAACACTACACCGCGATAAGAACTAAAGAGGTTGAAAATTACTTATTTATTACTTCTATTAATTTTAAGTTATTAATGTACTTGTAAATTTACAAAGAATCAATATATTACACTCTATATGTATAGGAAGGAAAGAATAAATGTACAATTTACAATTTTTAATTTAACAATTATCTTTGTTTAACATTTAATCTTTGTTCATGTTAATTTATTTTATTACATGTTGTCGCTATAAGAATTTCTATGGAATGTTTATAACTAGACATGAATTAACCACTATGACATTAGTCAAAGTGCATTGTGATGTGCTGATAACATACCGCACTAACATAATCGGATATTAGTATATAATATAAACAATTGTAAAAATAAACTTCGTTGTGTGGATGACATAATAGTGGCCATCTATGTTTTAATATAACCATTGGAATAATTTTAACAACTATCATGAAAGACTTAATTCAATCAATCAAGAGGTTAATTATAGCTTGTGTTTCATAATTTCATTTAAAATTATTAAAACAAAATATATATGTTGGTATCAAAAGAAATCGTATAATTACATTATATTTTATTCAAACCATAATCTACAAAATTGGAATAATATAAACATTGTAGACATATGTTATTGCTATTAATCCACTATTTTTTAATAAAAATTTGGATTAATTATTAATTAGTCAGAAGCAATGCGTAATACCCTTTGATCTATTTTTTTAACATAATTAATCATAATAAGAAAATAATCATATGTAATTACAGATTTTTTAGTGAGAAGGAAATAGAAAGAACAAAAAGTATAAGAAAAAGACTCGGTTAATAAAAATTTTTTGTCATTCCATATAAATAGATTCTCAGAAATGATTTTCCAAGGTGAAAAATAAAAATTATATGGTAGGGTATAGATTGTTCAACAAAGGATATATTATTTAAAGCACAGAAAGATAAAACTAAACATCCATCAATTCGAATGTGGCATATAAGATCATTCAATAATTGTAATGCATCTTATTTAGGCCAACAAATATAATTGCAGACGCAAAAGAACATAAAAAATAATATAAATTGGATCAACAAAACATTCTTTAATTTTGAACACATAATAAAGGAACATCATACTTTTAAGGAAATTTAAAATCATGGACATACGAAAATAATCTATTATAAAAGACTTATTTCAGATGCTACATATCAAGGATCAAAAAAATGGACTAAATTTAAACAAAGATACTGAGTTACTTAGCGAGTCGTATTTATATTTGAATATATTAGAGAACAATAAATAATAATAGGACAAATAGGACATTAACTATTAAAATAAAAATAGATATTATATCATATTAAACACGCACGTCTCCGATCAAGATAGAGTTTAAAATAAGCTGTCTTTCTGTATTGTTGTTGTTCTTTCATCCTTAATAACTGTTAATAAGTAGCAAAATGTCAAGAAGAACGATGATAGGTAAGCATACTACCAATTTAGGGGATATATATTAATTTGGACATAGTTGATCGGTAATTTCTTATTAATGCACGCCCGTACGGGTTAATTTCTTATATAAACATGAAATCATCCAAATTTGAATAAAATCAGAGATATACGAGCGAACATTTTTGGACAGGACGTTGAAACACGGTTAATTAATAAAATCTCGATTCTGAATAATTATAATTAAATTTCGATATCATGTGAATTTAAGAATTTATTTTTCAATAATTATACTGAAGAAATACCGCATGCTTTAACGTTTATATAATGATTGTAATTTCTTAATTTGCGTTAGTTTAATATAATATAAAACTGTAGATAATTTATACATGTAATAAATCAATTGTAAACATCTCGAATATTCAGCTTGATAAGTTTTTATATTATCAATTTGTTTTCAATACACGAGCGACAATATATTAATAAATGTACAATTTCTCATTTTTAATTTACAATTAGATCTTGTTTAAAATTTAATCTTTGTTCAGTTAATTTATTTTTTAAATTTTAATACTAATAGATTTCTATAATGTTTATAAAACATAATAATAACATGAAATTATCAAATATTTATTTTCTCAAAAAATATTTATAAATAATTTTATATTAATATAATATAAAAATTTAAAAATAAAAAATTTATGATCTTGCGATAAATAATTATTATAATTTAAAAAAGGTTAAATTTAAATTGTTTAATTATTTATTGAGAAATTTATTTACAAAAATATCAAATAAAGAAAATTTTATAATATTTAGATGTTTCATAATTACATTTTAAATTTTATAACATATATAATAACAAAATAAATTCAGTAAAATATATATATATATATATTTATTCATCTTTATATTTAAATAACATGAATAATTATGTAATTAATTTAAACTGGAATGTATATACATTGTAAAGTTATTATATATTTTTATAAAATATTTAGATAAATAGATATATATAAAAAATAAATTATTTATCTCTAAATAATTATTTAATTCAAATATATTTAAACGTATATTCAAAAAAGGTAATATAAGGCACAAAGAATTAAATTTAGGAAATTAAAAAAATTTAAAGTTAAATAAAAATTTTTAATTTAAATTAAAAAATAAAAGTAAAAATAAAAGTAAAAAAAATGTAATGTACAAAAAATACTTAGCGCTGTTTTTGTATTGTTATTTTAACACATTAGTAAATAAAATAAAATATAAATCAAAGTATAGACTAATTTTTTTACTGCAATACGCTTCAATAGAAATCTATAAACATATTACGTGGCTCGATATTCGAATGACATGTGGCTAGCTGAACATATCGATATACATGTATGAAATATATGTATATAATGTAACATGCAATAATTGTCATATTAAACAGATTCAACGATTGGGCAATGTGAATGGGCTAAGTGAAAATTATAAAATGAATTTACTATACATTAATATATGCTAAAGACGTATACATATACATATATATGTTATTAATATATGTATACCAGGGTTGGGAAGTAACGAGTTACTTGTAACGAAGTTACAGTTACAGTTACTTTTTTTCGGTAACTATAACTTAACTTCGTTACTTTTTTCCATCTGTAACTGTAACTGTAACTTAGTTACATTTTTTTAGTAACTAGTAACTATTTTAATAGTTACTTTATTAGTTACTTTTTTTGGAAACATGCGCTAAAAGTATTGTTTAAGTATGGTAGCCGTTATATTATTAAATTAAATTTTGATAACAGTAGCATATGGATCTTCATATGATTTAATCTTTTACCTAAAATTTTCATTTTGTGTACATAAAATAATATAACACATAATTAAGATCGACCAATCACAGTCAAATATTTAAAAAAATTCTTAAAGGTAATAATTGATCGATTTGCTTGCGACTTTGCGATTACCATTTAGTAACTTACTATAACTATTTTTACTGTTGTATATAAAGATCATTCATACATTGATGTTAATTGCAAAGTCGCAAGCAAATCGATCAATATTACATTCAAGAATTTTTTTAAATACTTGACTGTAATTGTGCATAAAATGTAAGCTCCTTATATTTAAAACAATGTATAATTATTTTTAAAAAGTAACTGAAAAGTAACGACTCGTTACTTTTAGAGTAACTGTAACTGTAACGAGTTATTTTTTAAAATCGGTAACTTGTAACTGTAACTAGTTATTTTTTCAATGAAATAACTGTAACTGTAACTAGTTACTTTTACAAAGTAACTTTCCCAACCCTGATGTATACATATATTAATTAATGTATATGGAGCATTTCAAAGTGTTTAATTGATCAATCAAAATATAAATGAATAAAAATTTCTTTATTCTGATACATGTTTTAAAGCATTTGCAATGTTTTCCTGATCGCAATCAAAGTTTCGAGATAGATGTTTAAAGCGCATTATTTTCATTATGAATTTTTTTATAAAAAAGATTCAAATATAATTTCATGATTCTTTAATTTCGACTTATTTTGACTTCATCATTTCACTCTCCAAAGATAGGATGCGACTTCTGTGTGTGATATATTCTGTATATACACATTTCGTTACTAATCATCATTTTTAAGGACGTTTCGTAGTCAAAGGGCTATAATACAAAAACAGCGCTAAGTATTTTTTGTACATTACATTTTTTTTACTTTTATTTTTACTTTTATTTTTTAATTTAAATTAAAAATTTTTATTTAACTTTAAATTTTTTTAATTTCCTAAATTTAATTCTTTGTGCCTTATATTACCTTTTTTGAATATACGTTTAAATATATTTGAATTAAATAATTATTTAGAGATAAATAATTTATTTTTTATATATATCTATTTATCTAAATATTTTATAAAAATATATAATAACTTTACAATGTATATACATTCCAGTTTAAATTAATTACATAATTATTCATGTTATTTAAATATAAAGATGAATAAATATATATATATATATATTTTACTGAATTTATTTTGTTATTGTATATATTATAAACGTTTTAAAATAAAGCAATAATTATACATTTGTATCATTATAAGAAATTTATCTAAATATTATATATTATGTTGTCACTTACTTAGTGCAACTTTTTGATTTGACTACTTTTTGATGCTAATATTTTAACCTTTTTTCTCGTATTATCAATATAATTATTTAGCGCAATTTTTTGATTTCACTACTTTTTGATGCTAATATTTTAATTTTTTTCTAGTATTATTAACAAAAATAAAATATAATTTATAAATATAATTTTTGAGAAAATATTTTTGATAATGATTAATTTTTGCAAAGAATTATTTTGGCTATAAACATAATTTTTGAGAAGATTATATTTTTTATTATTATAAAGAACTATTTTTGCTGACGAAAGATATAACTTAGCGCTTTTTTTTTACATCTGTGATGTCTTTTTTTGTGGGATTTCACATATTTTTGCAAAGATCATTAAACAAAATGCATTAAATAAATGTATATTTTTTTATATTTATAATGAGAGAAGACGAGAGAGAGCAAGAGGACCCAAGAGAGAGAGCGGGAGAGAGCAAGAGGGAGCAAGAGGGAGCAAGAGAGAGCGAGAGAAAGCAGGAGAGAGCGAGAGAGAGCGAGAGAGAGCGATAGAGAGCGATACAAAGCGG